AGGCAGACATACAGACCAAAGGAATAGAGCCCAGAAATAAACTCTCACATATATGGTCAAATGATTTTTAATTAATTAATTTATTTTTTATCCTCACCCGAGGATATTTTTCCATTTTTTGTACAGATAGAGTGGGAGGGAGAGAGAGGAAGGGAGAGAGAGTGAGAAACATCGACGTGAAGGGACACATCGAGTGGCTGCCACCCGCACGACCAACCAGGGCCGGGGACAAACTGCAACCGAAGTACGTGCCCTTAGCGGGAACCGAACCCGGGTCTCTCCAGATCGCAGGCCGATGCTCTAACCGCTGAGCCAAACTGGCCAGGGCTGGTCAAATGATTTTTGACAAGAATGCCAATACTATTAAATAGGAAAAGGACAGTCTTTTCAATAAATGATGCTGGGGAAATGGATATCCACATGTAAAAGAATAAAAAGTTAGACCCTTACCTAACACCATGTGCAAAAAATAACTAAAAATGGGTCAAACACCCATTTGAGACTTAAAATTTTAAAATCTTATAAGGAAAACAGAGCAAAAGCTCATGACATTAAATTTTCCAGTTACTACTTAGATATGACACTAAAGATGAGAAAAACAAAATGGACAAATTGGTCTCTTCATGAAAATAAAAAACATTATACATCAAAAGACAGTATCAACAGAGTAAAAAAGCAACTAACAGAATGGAAGAAAATATTTGCAAATCATATAAGAAATTAATACCCAGAATATGTACAGAACTCAAACTCAACAATAAAAATATAAACAACCTTTAAAAATGGGAAAAGGATTTGAATAAACATTTCTCCAAGGAAGATATACAAGTGGCCAATAAGCACATGAAAAGGCTCATCATTAATCATTAGGGAAGTAGAAATCAAAATTACAATGATAAACCACCTCACACCCACTAGAATGGCTACTATAAAACAACAACAACAGAAAATAAAAAGTGTAGGCAAGGATGTGGGGAAATTGGAACCCTTATGCACAGTTGATGGGAATGTAAAATGGTATAGCCATTGTGAAAAAGAGGATGATGTTTCCTCAAAAATTAAAAACAGAATTACTACATGATCCAGTAATTCTGGCTATATACCTAAAAGAATGAAAAGCAGGGTCTGGAAGAGATATTGGTATGCCCATGTTCATAGCAATATTCGCAATAGCTAAAATGTGGAAGCAATCCAAGTGTACATCAACAGATACATGGATAAACAAAGTGTGGCATACACATGCAATGGAATATTACTTAGCCTTAAAAAGGAAATTTTGACGCATGCTGCAACATGGATAAACCTTGAAAACAAGTGAAATAAACCAGTCACAAAAGGACAAATACTGTGTGTTCCCACTTATATGGGGTACTCAGAGTAGTCAAAAGCATGGAGACAGAAAGTAGAATTGTGGTTGCCAGGCACTGGGGATGGGGGAAGGGGGCTCAAGTGGAATGGGAGTTATTGTTTAATGGGTATAGAGCTTCATTTTTACAAGAATAAAAGAGTTCTGGAGATGGATGGATGGTGGTGATGATGGCACATTATGAATAACACCACGAAATTGTACTTAAAAATGGTTAAGATGGTAAATTTTATGTTTTGTGTATTTTATCACAATAAAAATTGGGGGAAAATGCAAAACAAAAGAAAACAAACAAACTCAGAAGCTATATATATAAGTGTGTGTGTATGTATATATGTGTGTGTGTGTGTGTGTGTGTATATCCCTGGCCGGTTTTAGCTTTGGCCCTCGGACCAATGAGTCTCAGGTTCCAGTCAAGGGCACCTACCGAGGTCACACACAATGAACTAATGGACTACAACTAGCCTGATGCTGAACTGAACCTGGTTAAAAAACAAGAGGGAAAAAAATACCCAGCAAACAAAGTAAGTGGGAACATAAATTTCCAAACTTATGGGGAGATAGAACACCAGGCAGTAGGGAGATAGAACACCAGACAGCCATTTTGTAATTGTAGATTAATAAGAAACAATGTTGATGAGATATTGACAGAAAACACTCATGTTACAGTTATATGCATCATATTGGTGAAATATATATACATTATTATTTTTTTTTTCTTTTTTTTTTTTTTTTTATCCTCACCCGAGGACATTTTTCCATTTTTTGCACAGATAGAGTGGGAGGGAGAGAGAGGAAGAGAGAGAGAGAGATAGAAACATCGACGTGAAAGAGGCACATCGAGTGGCTGCCACCCGCACAACCAACCAGGGCCGGGGACAAACTGCAACCGAGGTACATGCCCTTAGCGGGAACCGAACCCGGGTCTCTCCGGACCGCAGGCCGATGCTCTAACCGCTGAGCCAAACCGGCCAGGGCCATTATTATTATTTTTAATCCTCACCTGAGGATATTTTCTAATTATTATCAGACAGAGTGGGAGGAAGGGAGAGATAGGGAAGAAGAGAGAGAGAGAGAGAGAGAGAGAAACATCGATGTGAGAGAGACACATCAACTGGTTGCCTCCCGTACAACCCTACCAGAGCCAGGGACAAACCAAAACCTGGGTAGGTGCCCTTAACCGGAATCAAACCTGAGACTCATTGGTCCGAGGGCCGATGCTAAAACCGGCCAGGGCTATATACATTTTTAAAAGAATAGTTTATTGATTTTTAGAGAGAGAAGGAAGAAAGAGGGAGAGGGAAACATCCATGTGAGAGTGCAACATCCATCTGATCCTGTTGTAATTAACCTAGTTATTAACAACAGAAAAGGAGCAAAAGGAAGGCCAAATATTACAGGTATGTCATTTAGGCAGCTTCACCAGGAAACTACAGCTTTACACTCCCCAGGAAGCCACCAGTCCATTCCCTGCAGATCACTGGGGGACTGGACAAAGGGAAGACAGATGCATTGCTCAGTAAAACGAGCGGAGGTGAGGGGTGGGGAAACAGGGACCTTCAAAGGCACTTGCCTGTCAGTCATACCTACATGGGAACAGGCCAGAGTAGGCTGTGGCCACTTGCAAGAATAGTAAAATTTGAGATATTTAATATCCTAAACAAAGGAGTTTGCTCTCTTTGCCCACTTGCTTGCTCTTGCCTCTTTTGGGACTCTTGTTGCATGGCCATGTGGACCTCACACACAATGGACTAATGGACTACAACTAGCCTAATGCTGAACTGGCCCCAGTTACAACATGGAACAGAAACTCTGGACACTGGTTTTGCTTTTAGCTATACTGAAATGCCAATTGCACTTCTTCCAAGACTGGATTAAAAGAAATGGGAGTTTGGAAACACAGAGATGTAATTCCATGCAAATCAAAATCACTCATCCTCCCATGCAAGTCTCAGAAAATTTTTTCTTGAGATATCGTAATGACTCCACTGCCAGCACTCAGTGGGGAAAGGGATACCATACTTCAACCAGTAACACATCAGCTGTCTCCTGTAAGGCCCCCACCAGCCTGCAACCTGAGCATGTGCCACTGGCCAGAATCAAACCAGCAACGTCCTGGTTTATGGGATAATGTCCAACCAACTGAGCCACATGGGCCAGGGCTGTTGCAATATATTTATATATGTATACACATTTGGAAAAAGTCTAGAAGGGAATGCAACAAACTGTTACGAATGGTATTCCCTGGGTAGTAGGATTATATGGGTGATTTTTATTTCTTGCTGACATGTATTTTCTAAAATAAGCAGTATTTAAAATATTAGTATCCATTTTTAAAATATCAAGTCAGCTAAGAAAAAATTCTGTAACTTCAGGTGAATATATTAAACATATTATAGGAGAGGGATGAAGAAGGGAAAGGTTTCATAGTCTACTCTAATTTAAGACTAAATTTCTTAAATATCCAGTTTCCCCTAATCAATACATTGAAAGTGTGCAATATATTGGTGGACAGGTTTGTTTCTGAGTTTTTGTTTTAATTGCAATTTAGAGACTTTCAAGAGGTTGTTCTTTTTCCTATTTAGAAAAATGGAATCAATTGATTTAAAACATTAACCCAAAACTCAATGCCTTAAAAACCAAAGACTGCCCGCCCAGAGTGGCTCAGCTGGTTGAGCGTCACCCCGTGCACCGAAAGGTTGCTGATTTGATTCACCGAAAGGTTGCTGATTTGATTCCTGGTCAGAGTACATACCTGGGTTGCAGGATTGATACCCACTTTGGGCAGTTACAGAAAGTCATGATCAATTGATGTTTCTCTCTCTCCCCCTCCCCCTCTCTAAGCATGGCCTCAGGTGAGGATTAAATTAAAACCCCTTTCAAAAAAAAAAAAAAAAAAATGAGGACTAATTTCCATGAAAATTGATGCAGAATGCTATGCTAACAATACTGTGTCATTATTTAACAGTATTTTTTACCTAGACTTAAAAAGAATAGACAACTATGCATGCTATGCATGGAAAACCAGAATCCCAACTTTCAGGTAATGAGCACCATTCTGAGATTTGGGGCCACAGTGAGTCATTTTGAATTGCCATCATAATTACGCAAATATAGTGAGACCAAGGATTGATTTCTATTGGCTATCAAATAGAAAATCATTCAAAATGGCACACAAGACACCAACTAAAAGTAAAACGCCAAAACCTAAGAGCCCAGCGCAATTCTTTCTCCAACCTATCCACCCTCTACCCGCGTCCCTTGCTCTGGCCCTGTTGAGTCCTTGACTTGTCTTCCCTCAGCTGATGCAGGGCGGCGATCCTCCACCAGAAGCCCTCGCAGCAGGACCGCGAATTCGGGTTTTCCAGGTATCGCAGAACCGGGTTACTCTCAGTGCAGCGCCTGGACTCCGCCCCCGCCCCGCCCCGCCCCGCCCGGGCCCCGCCCCGCCCACCCGAGTGTAAAGAGCCGGGAGCCGGGAAAGGTCTGTTGCGCAAGCCCAGAGCCTCCGGGGCTAGAAGGAGAGAGGCCTCCGCGGCGCGCCGGAGACTATGAGGCGCGACATTCCGCGGGCTCCTTCCCGGAAGCGGAAGCCCAGGGGGCGGGCCAAGGGCGGCGGGGAGTCCACGGCGGTTAATTCCTATTACCGTGCCGTTTCGCTTCCTTCGATCTGGGCTTCTCTGAGGCTGCGAGAGATGGTTAGGTCGGGATTTCGACCCGGCCAGGTGAGGGTCGTGGACCTGAGGCGTCCACTGTGGGGGTGGAGAGGAACTGAGGGGGATTCTCGGGCCGGGAGAAGTGCAAAACCGAAAAAAACAGTGCGGCCGCATTAGAAATGCTGGGGAAGAGGAGGAGGGGAGGCACCTGCTCCTAACATCCTAACACAGCCGCTCTGTCCATAGAGGTACATTCTGTTTTAATCGTAGCCCTCCAGAGCGCTGGCTTTGGTGGAGGGCCCGGTTCGAGTTCGAACCCTGCCGCTGGGTCGGGTGACTTGACCTCTCCGAGCCTTAGTACATTGTTGCTTAAATCCAGGTTCTCTTCTCTTCCACCCAGTGCCGCTCTTAGCTGATCTTTCGTCACAATTGCTGGTATTTTACTAGTTAGTAATTATAAAATAAAGTCTCCTAGTTCATGTCACTGCCTTTAGCCTTACCCCTTTCAAATGCACACCCTTGTAAATAATGACTCTTTTCTGCGTACAATCTTATACTGGGACACTTCTTTTTCAAGATAAAAAAATATCTGTTCTTTGACCTGAGATTGCATTTCTTACCAGCTGCTGCTCCTATTCCAGTGTTATCCAGCACTGTTCACCTATTCTCCGGTGTCCTGGGCACCCCCTGTCCTCATTCTTCCATGCCTTTGCACTCTGTTAGCGTAGAACGCCCTTCTATCTCTGGTATCTCCACTTCCCATCTCCTGTCGCATAGCTACTTCTAGAAGCCTTGCAACACTCTCCCTTCCCCGTTGTTAGGGGGCCCCCTGGCTCCCCTTTTGTGCCCTGTTCTAACCTTTATCAGACTTTTCAGGCTAGAGAAATTGCTAATATATATGCCTTAGTTATTACACAATTTAGGTCTACATCTTCAAGGCCTAGGACAGCACCTGGCATATAGTAGATTTTCAGGCAATGAATCAGCTCTTCCTCACACAGACCCAGTACTTAGAGTGATCTTAATTCTCCTTAAACATATCCAGCCCCCTCCCCCCTTACTTTTGGTCTTCCATCATTTATTAACGCACCTGTAATGCTGTCTTCCCCGTTAATGTGAATCTTACCTTTTTTCAAGACGTGGCTTAAGACTTTCTCTTGAGTACTTCCAGACCAGCCTCACCCTTATAGATCTTTCTCGTATGTTGACTTAACTTAGAATATGCCCAGTCAGCAAGAGGTAATAACATGGTTTTGTAGTCATAGTCAGCTACAGATTCAAATTCCTATTCTGCCACTACTATTATAGTGGTAGTATGCAAAGCACTTATTACTTCTCTGAGCCTCCTTTATAAAATAGGTATAAATAAGTATAAAACTATGCCTCGAGCCCTGGCCATTTTTGTTCAGCGGTTAGAGCGTCGACCTGCGGTCCAGAGAGACCCGGGTTCGGTTCCCGCTAAGGGCATGCACCTCGGTTGCAGTTTGTCCCTGGCCCTGGCTGGTCGTGCGGGTGGCAGCCACTCGATGTGTCCCTTTCACATTGATGTTTCTCTCTCTCTTCCTCTTTCTCCCTTCCACTCTATCTTAACAAAAAAGTGGAAAAATGTCCTCGGGTGAGGATTAAAAAAGCTATGCCTTGAAGAATTGGGGACATTAAGTCAAAGAATCAGGTGAAACATCTACCTCACACTAGGTATAAGTGCAGCAAAATTTAATCCCCTTTAAAATTTACTTTACTACTATCTTAATGATAACAATAGCAGCTAACATTTAGATAGCACTGTGAAAAGTACTGCTGGAAATGCTCTTACATATTACATATAATTTATCATTTAATCTTCACTATTCTTAGGAGGAAGATAGGATTATCATCCTATAGATGAGGAAATTGAGGGATTGAGCAAATAACTTCCCTGCAGTTACATAGCTGGTTAGCAGTGGAGGCTGGATTCAGATTCACAGAGCTGGTGCCAGAGTCCATTCTTTTAAACTACCCTATGCTGAGAAGGTGTACAGCTGAATTAAGCCACCTTTGTGAAATTTAGATTTCTGCCTCTTACAAATAATATCAGATCACAGAGTGTGAAAATGAAAGGTTTTAGTACACTCTAAATAATTCCACAAGTGTAATTTTATCTTGCACTGGTTGGTAGGAGGTATGACTCCTAAGAAATGCATATATTTTTCTCAAATAGCAAAGTAAAAAGTAGAAGAAAATGTGAAGTACAAGCAAACTGGTTCTCTCGTGCATTGTGATTTGGGGCATTCAGTTTGGAAAGCAGTTTTACAGTTTATATCAAGGGCCATTGAACAACAAATAACCTCTCACCAAATAATTAAGCTTTTTTTTTTAATCCTCACCAACGATTTTTTTCCAATTGATTTTAGAGAGAGGAAGGGAGAGAAAGAAACATCAATTTGTTGCTTCCTGTACACTCCCTGACCAGGGATAAAACCTTCAACCTAGGTATGTACCCTAACCAAGAATTGAGCCCACAAACTTTTGGTGTACAGGATGATAGTCCAACCAGCTGAGCTACCCAGCCAGGACTAATTAAGCTTTTAATCCTGAATATGAAAAGGCTATTTTTAGTATATGGAAAGGTTTATTTCAAGTTTGTGTTTTAATTGTACAAAACAAAAAGCAAACCAAGGGCACATTATATTACTTGCAATCATTAAAAAAATTTGAAGGCTATGTTAATGTGGAAGAAGATTTAAAAGTAAAAACACAAGATTCAAAATTACAACTATCAAGTCATGACTAAGTAAATAATCCATATGAAAAAAAGATTGGAAGCCCCAGTAGCAAAGAGCACATCTAGTGCCTAAATCTTGGTTTCTCAATACCATTGTCTACTAAAAGGAACCATGGCTTGTTGGAGAAATGGTCAACTCCAGGGCCAAGAGAAAAATCATAAGATGAGCACAGCGAAGGGAATAATTAACAGAGTGAAAGTACAACTTATAGAATGGAAAAATATATTTGTAAGCCATATATTCACAGTATATAAGGGACTCCTACAACTCAAAAGAAAAATAAATAATCTGATTTTAAAATGGACAAAGAACTTGTAAATATTAATTATAGACATACAAATGGACAGCAGATATGAAAAGATGGTCAACATCACTAATCATCAGGGAAATGCAAATCAAAACCATAGTGAAATACCACCTCATACCAGTTAGGTTGGCTATTATCAAAATAAATAGGAAATAAGTACTGGTGAGGATGTGGAGAAATTGGAACCCTTGTATACTGTTGGTGGGAATATAAAAGGATGCAGCTGCTATGAAAAACTGAAAGTTCCTCAAAAAATTAATCCCACTTTGGGTATCCAAAAGAATTAAAAATGGAATCTTAAAGTGAAATTTGCATTCCTATGTTCAGCATTATTCACATAGCCAAGATGTGGAAACAACCTAAATGTCCATTGATGGATGAGTGGAAAAAGAAAATGTGCTACATACTCACAGTGAAATATTAATCAGCCTCAGAAAAGTAGGGAATTTTGCCATATGCAACATAGATGAATGTTGAGGATATTATGCTAAGTGGAATAAGCCAGTTACAGAAGGATAAACATCACACTTCACTTATATAAGGTATCTAAGAGAATCAAACTCCTAGAAGCAGAGAGTAGAATGGTAGTTGCCAGAGGCTGGAGGGAGGGAGAAATGGGGAGTTGCGATTCAGTGAATATAAAGTTTCAGTTATGCAGGATGAGTAAGTTCTAGAGATGTGCTATGCAGCATCATTCCTTTAGTTAACAATATTGGATTGTACACTTAAACATTTGTTAAGAGGTTAGATCTCATGTTAAATGTTCTTATCACAATTAAAAAAAGAGCCTGGAGCCCCTTGTACAAAGTAAGGGATAGCTCAGAAACTAATGGGAACATGTTCAAGGATACAGGAGCTAATTTGAAGAGACTCATACTGATAGAATCTGGGACAATTTGAGCATCAAAATAAATAAGAATAGTGGACATAACCCATTGAATAAAACAGGAATCAATGAGTCTATGGTAACAAGTAAATGAAGGAAAAGTGCTTCACTGAAGTCAAATGCCAGTTAATAAATGTGGAAGAAATTATGTAAGTTAGAAAAATCGCTATTTGGCAAGCAATTGATTAAAGCAAGAATCATCAATGGATGCTAAAAGTATTGGGTAAAAGTTTGGTGAATGGGATGTCTGCATAATCTCAAAGTGTCTCCTCACAAGATGCTTAATATTTACAAAAGTAAAAAAGTAACCTTACAGTGAAAAATTTGGTAGGCACCATCTTCAGTAATCAAAGTTTACATCACCAGTAATGGAACAAACTGACATCACATACCTACTCAGGTAGTATTGAGAAGGACACAGCATCCCTTTTGTGGTATTATTGCCAAAAACACACAACCTCATTCTAATCATGAAGAAACATAAGATGAGTCTAAATGTCCAGAGGGACACTACCAAAATAACTGGTTTGTACTCTTCAAATATGTCAAGGTTGTAAAAGAATGAATGACAACCCAAGAAGCTGTTTCAGACTAAAAGATACTTTTAACGAGGTGATGCAATTTAATGCAACTATGATCCTGGATTGAACATGGACCAGATTTTGTGTGTGTGTGTGTGTGTGTGTGTGTGTGTGTAAAGGACAGTATTAGTGTAATTAAATGTGAATAAAGTCTGTAGATTATAGTATGGTGTTAATGTTACTTTCCTGATTTTGATAATTATATTTTAGTTAAATGAGAGAGTGACTTTGTTTTAAGAGTAAATATTTAACTATAAAGGGGTATCATATCTGAAACTTACCCTGAACTTAACTTCAGACAAACATATATATTCTGAAAGATAAAATGGCAGATGTGGTAAAATGTGAACAGTTGGGGAATCTGAGTAAAGTATACACAGTTCTTTGTACTATTATTTCAAAATAAAAAATACAAAAAAAAATGGACAGAAATTACTGTTGCAGGGTGTTTTATCCTGGGGAATTTTCTTTGATTGTATGTAATATAACCTCATGTATATTTTTTGGAGAAATGCTATATATAATCTTACAATTATGCCATACAGTTATCTCAGATAGTACTTAATTTTTTTTTTTTTTTGGTACGTGCCCCTAGCCGCTAGGGTCTAGCAAGAACTGAACCCGGGACTCTCTGGTTCGCAGGCCGACGCTCCAACCACTGAGCCAAACTGGCCAAAAATTCTTTTGGGCTTAAAAATTTTTTTAAAGATAATAATTGGCCTGGCTGGTGTGGCTCTTGGATTGAGCATTGTCCCATGGACTGAGAGGTCCCGGTTCCATTCCCAGTTGGGGCACATGCCTGGGGGTGTGGGCTTCATCCCTAGTAAGAAGTATCCAGGAGACAGCCAATTGATGTCTCTCTCTCAGATTGATGTTTGTATTTCTCCCCTTCTCTCTAAAAAATCAATAAAAACATAAAAACATTTTAAAAGATAATAATTGTGGTAGTGTTTTTGGACTTAGCAGCCCCATGGTTTGGATTTTTATTATGGTTCTGGCTGGGACACCAGCATAGATATACTGAAGAGAAAGACCCTAAATGTCTTCAGGGAGCAATAGAGCTACATTGCATGGACTCTTACTCCTGCAACATTGGTTCTCACTGCTGGCCTTGTGACTCCATCGTACTATAATTTATCTTAAGGAGAAATATGACTCTCAATGTATTCTCAGTAGCATTCTTAAAAGGAAGGGGTACATATTCAAACAAATAATAGAATATTATGTAACTTCCAAAAGTTTAGTTATTGCTCAGAGCTATCTGGGGATGAAATATGTAAACATATCAAGAAAAATCATGCATGTAACTAAACATTGACTACACCTGAATGGTGAAATGAGGGATTGAGTAGGGAATTTAACCATGTCTTTTAAAAATTATATATATATATATATATATATATATATATATATTTAAATATTGTTGAATGTAGAATGTATTACAGATGTTCCACATTTTTCCCCCATTGACCCCCTCTTCCCCACTCCCGCCCCCCTCCCACCTTTCCCCACACTATTGTCTGTGTCCATTGGTTATGCATATAAGTTCTTTGGTTTATTTCTTCCCATCCCCCCAACCCCTTTCCCTTTGAGGTTTGTCAGTCTAGCAGTGAATTTGTACTTCTTAATCTCTTCACCTTTTTCACCCATTCCCCCAACCCCCCTCCCAACTGGCAACCAACACAATGTTCTCTGTATCTATGAGAATGTTTCTGTTCTGCCTGTTCATTTTGTTTGTAGATTCCATTGTTGATAGATATGTATTCATTGCCATTTTGTTTGTTCATATATTTTATCTTTTTCTTCAAAAAGACCCTTCATCATTTCATATAATAATGGTTTGGTGGTGATGAACTCCTTTAACTTTTTCTTGTCTGGGAAAGTCTTGTCTGGCCATCGATTCTAAATGACAGCTTTGCAGGATAGAGTAATCTTGGTTGTAGGTTGTTGCTTTTCATCACTCTGAATATTTCTTGCCACTCCCTTCTGGCCTGAAAAGTTTCTTTTGAGAAATCATAAAATTATATTTTAATAGAGGTAATTTATTTACCTGGTATAAAGTTACCAAGCTATGAAAAGGTATACCATGGAAAGTCTCCCTTCTTGCTCTATCCCCCAGATTCTCAGTTTCCCTCCAGAGGCAGCTGCAGTTAACTTTCATGTATAACTCTCAAGATATTGGATACATGTAAAAGCAAATGTATATTTTTTCTTATACACAAAAGGTGGCCCATTTATGTTACTTTTAATTTAAAATTTTAATAAAACAGTATTGCTATATGACTTACAAAAGAAAGATTGAGAGGAGATGTGGAGAAAGAGAAATGGTAGAGGTTTTGTGTACTGGTCTTGTCAGGCATTATAAAAATGTGTGGCTCAGTGGTTGAGCACCGACCCACGAGGTCACCAGTTCGATTCCCAGTCAGGGCATATGCCCAGGTTGTGGGCCCGATCCTCCCCCCCTCTGCCCCGTGGGATTGTGCAGGAGGCGGCCAGTCGAGGTTCTCTCTCAGTGATGTTCCTCTCTCTCCTTTTTCCTTCCTCTCTCTCTAAAAATAATTAAAGAAAAAAAAAAAAGTGGATAAATAGAATTCGAGTTACGGACTCTACCCTGTATCTTGAATTATATGTTTTGAAGACTTTGGGGAATGTAGAATGTGTTCAGGGATTGAATGTAGTCTAACTTAGTATAGTTGGTTAAAATAATATTTCAACTTCAACTCACATAGACTTAAGGAACAAATATATATGTTGCTTGCTTGACTTTATATTGAGAAAATTGTGAGTTCAATTGTAATTGTGAGTTTTTAGAATATATCACATTTATTTAAAATTAGGATCATGGTACATTAATAAAATGGAATATTATTCTGCCTTAAAAAGGTGGGAAATTTTGGCACATGCTATAACATGGATGAACCTTGAAGACGTGCTAAGGGAAATAAGCCAGTCACAAAGGACACAAATACTGAACTTTACTCTTAGAACTATACACTTAGAAATGGCAAAAATGATAAATTTTATGTTTTACCACAGTAAAGGAAACAATGAATAATATTTCAGGTTTTGTAAAGACAGCATACTGAGAGTATAATAGAAAAATATTTGTACATCTACTGTAATATAATACATTATTTCATAGGTATTATCTTCAGGAAAACATACTGGACCTGCTAAGTTAACCAATGGAAAGAAGCAGTAAGTACTTAAAGAAGCTGATGACTTTAGGAAATCTCACATTTTTCCAGGTCTTTGGGCTGGACTAAATTTAACCTACCCTAGAAAACTAGATGAGTCTCTACCTTCACAAAACTCTGGAGAAGAACCTTCCATATCTACCCACATTGATCATTTTAGTATTTAACAGTCTTTACAATCTTCATAAAGTGCTATATAAATCCATCATATACATGGTTGGACAAGTCTCCTTATCCAAACTTTGCTAGAAAGGAAATGATTTATATTTTGGAAAAAAATTTCTTTATTATTTGTAAAAATATTAAACTTGTTTTCTAGGACCCATTTAAGAAAGATAGCACGTTTTAATGCAGATTCTGGCTATCCCATCCATTCTGACTCAGAAAGTCAGGTAAGGTTAAACTGTATCAATACAATGTACACTATTATAATTAGTCTTCAGGTAAAAGCTAAAAAGTGGGCATAAAAATTCAAGTATTAATTGCCCTAAGGAAGTATGAATGCTTTTGCTTTAAAACATGTTTTCTACCAACACTAAATTGTTCCTAAAAGAAAATTTAAAACTGCCATGTTTTTTTCCTTGCATTATAATTTTATATAATCATTTCTAAATGACTTCCTCCTTACAGACTGAAACCGCACAGGGGCTTGATGGTTGTGCTTCTTTGCTGCGGAACATTTTGAGAAATGAAGATTCAGGTTTTATTTTTTGAATGCTTCTTTGCTAATCACTTTTTCTCAGTTAAGTAATTCTCTTAATGCTTATAATTTTGTTTTAAATTATTAATAGGTTCAGAAGTAGGATATTCAGAAAATAGATGTAATCCTAGAATTTTAGAAGGAAAAAGATATGGATCTAAAAAGAAAGGACATGAAAAACATACTGTTCCTTCATTAGTCCGGAAAGAAATTTGTAAGTATTATTTGACTTATTTATTTAATGGTTTTTTGTTGTTTATTTTTTATAGTACGTGCCCCTATCGGAAACTGAACCTGGGACTTTCTAGTCCACAGGCCGACGACGCTCCAATCGCTGAGCCAAACCAGCCAGGACTGACTTATTTATTTAAATATTTATTTAAATATAATACTTAATTCTGAGGGTTTTGATAAATTATCAGGATTATGCGATTGGTCTTTCATTTTAATAATATGTTGGTTATTCAAGTGTGTGAGTTTATGCCTCTCTTTTTCTATTCAGCTTCTAATTGTTGAGTAGTTACTTTGTTTAGTGACTGAGTTTTGTAGGCGAAAAGATTAAAGTTCAGAATGACATTTGGGAGGTATCTTTGTTCTTCCTGCCATTTATAAATTCCATAGATATTTTTGGTTGGGTTACATGTGTATACTTATTATTTTTATTATTTTTTTTTGTTTTGTGTTTTTTTTTTAATCCTCACCTGAGGACATTTTTTTTTTGCATTTATCGTCAGAGCAGGAGGGAGAGGGGTGGAAGAGAGAGAGAAAAATATCTCTGTGAGAGAGACACATTGAGTGGTTGCCACTCACATAATCCCAACCGGGGCCAGGAACAAACCACAACCAAGGTATGTGCCCTTAGTGGGAACCGAACCCAGGACTCTCTGGTCCATGGGCCAACACTCTAACCGCTGAACTAAACTGGCCAGGGCTACTTACTATTTTTAAATTGTTGCATATGTATATATCCTAGTAGGTTCAGTGGCTCAACTTGTTGAGCTGTACATGGTACATAAGAAGGTAAAATTTCAAGTTGGATAGATACATAAGAAGAGAGGGCCTGCCACTGATTGATGGGATATTTCACACCTTCATAGTTAACTTGCTGACTTAAGTGTAGTAATTCAGCAAGCAGCTTTGAATAAGTAAGTTTTGCTTATGGTGTCCCTTGGAGACATATAGAATAAGATAGCCCAAAATGGAGATGAAAATGTCCACAATGGGAATTCAAATGGAGAAGAATGGGACTAGCTAGTTCCATAACTCAGTTGGGCCAATAGTGTTAGCACAGCAGTGTATGCTGACATTCAGCTCAGGCAAGAGGTGAAGTTTAGAAAATTGTCTATGGCAATAGCCCTGGATATTAACAGATCAGGATCCAGGCAAAGGGCTGAAAAAATGAGAGTTGAGCATTCATAGAATTAGAGGTTGATATTCCACATGGTCCCTGAGTCAGAGAACTAAGGCAGAGGAAACAATCTACTAACCCATCTTGGAGGTCAGTGACATTTAGTCTCACATTATCTTGACCTGCCCTGTTTAGGATGGTCGTCACTAACCACATGTGGCCATTGAGCACTTGAAGTATGGCTGGTACAACCAAGGAGCTGAGTCCTAAGTGTTTTTTTTTTTAATCCTCACCCGAGGATATTTTTCCATTTTTTGTACAGATAGAGTGGGAGGGAGAGAGAGGAAGGGAGAGAGAGAGAGAGAAACATCGACGTGAAGGGACACATCGAGTGGCTGCCTCCCGCACGACCAACCAGGGCCGGGGACAAACTGCAACCGAAGTACGTGCCCTTAGCGGGAACCGAACCCGGGTCTCTCCAGACCGCAGGCCGACGCTCTAACCGCTGAGCCAAACTGGCCAGGGCGAGTCCTAAGTGTTTAATTTTAATTAATTTAAACTTGGAAACTGTTCTTTGATCCTGTTACTGGAAAACATTTAAGTATGTTTGGAATTATGTGGGTACATGAATACACTTTTTCAACTGTAAACTTTATTAACTCTAAATACAGATCAAGTATTTCTGATGACAAGTTAGCATCCATATTGAGGTGTGCTTTGTATAAAATACATACCAGGTATAGATGATTTAATATAAAAAATAAAATAATTTTTAAAATTAATTACATATTGAAATGTTAATATTTTGAATATACTGGTTTGAATAAACATTATGAAAATGAGTGTTATCTGTCTTTACTTTTTAAAGATAGCCACTGTAAAATTTTAAATTGCATATATTATTTACATTCTATTTTTATTGGTCAGCATTGGTCTAAACCAGTGGTCCACATACTACAGCCAGCTTTATTTTATAAATAGTTTAGTTATTTTATATATTTTGTAAATAAAGTTTTATCAGAGCATAACCATGCTCATTCATTTATGTATTTTCTATGACTGCTTCTGTGCTGTAACAGCAAAGTTGAGTAGTTGTGACATAAAGACCATCTGGGCTGCAAAGCCTAAAATATTTATCCTCTAGCCTTTTGAGAAAAAGTGTGTTGATCCCTGTTCTAAACTCTTAAAGCAGAGGACTATGTATTGGGACCCAGTGGACAAAGAAAGGATTGGCAGTACCAACTGCCTATTCCTCCAGTGTCCTGCTTTTTCCTCGAGGCAGGTTCTTGTCCAGGGCACCCTTCCTCAAGGAACTCTCATTTGGAATGTACATGGCTGACAGTAGTGCCATGGCCACAATTTGGATCCTAGCTTAACTACTTGTTACTCAGTGTTCCAACAGGAAACAAGTGGCAACACTCAAATTAAGATAATTCAAGAAGGGTTTATTTACAAAGAAACTCGTTACAAAGGTATAAGTCGGTTATAGGGAAATCACAAAGGATTAAACCAGCCCAGTGCTTGTAGCAGCAGCAGAGCTGTTATCATCCCTAGGCCTTATAGGATGAGGTGACGGAAAGGTTACTGGGACGCAGAAGTAGATACTGTTGTGTAGAGTAGGTCACCGAGAGAAGAGCAGTGAGTTTCATTGGTGACATCATAGAGTTGGAATGAGCACTCCAACTTCATGCTGTTTCCTTTCCTTGATAATGCCAAGAATCCCATTGGATCAGACCCAAGTTGATTTTTATTTTTACAAGCTAATAAGTTAGCCTTATAATGTCACAGGTACTGGCAGGAGACACAAGACTCCTGGGTCAGAGACAAAGGAGTTTATTATTCATACCACAGCAAGCAGCATGTACTACTTTATCTTGGTTTCCCTTTGCCACCAACTCCCATGGGGATGATGTGATGGACCCTGGTGGATGCTGCACACGCTGTAGGTTTAAGTTTCAGCTGAGGAGCACTGTGTTGGTGATTCCATTGCTTTGGGTAGGAAGCAGTAAGCAAGCCTGTACTTTCTCAGGGGAAACATTACCGTATCCCTCAAGGTTGCTCAAGGTTTCACCCTTAGAAATGGCCCAGGTAGAGCTTAGGTCAAGCAAGGCCTTACCTTCTTGGTATACCCAGTAAGACGTAGGAGCAGAAAAGCCTCATGGACTCTCTCTTAACAATGTAATTCATATAGGTCAACATATTAGGGAGAGCAGGGTGAAAACAAGTAGAGGATGGATTTGGAGGAACAGATGAGAGATATTTGGCATTCTAGGTCCCAAGCATTAAATTTTATATTTGGATTAGAGTTAAATCAGCAGTTCTGGCCTGTGATCAGATTACAGTATTCTTAATGTCCTTTCCCTTATACCTTTGTCTTCAGAAGATGGGACCTACTTCCCATAAGATAATCTCCTTTAGGGTTGCAATGTTAGAAATTTGTTCTCTTTGACTTATTTACTTCTACGGTTGACTCACTAGAAGCAGAAGCCTCCTTTCCTTTGGGTCAATACTCTATCTTTTGTAGTTTACCAAACTGTAGCACTCTCTAGAAAGAATATCTTTTTCGTGTGTGTGGTTGCAGCTGTTGATACTGTTATCACAGTGTTCAACAGTACACAAAAACCATGCTCAGTGCTTGGTCTCTCTTCTATCTCCCCACAAGTGAGGTAAATCATAAATAGAATTTTAAGGAATCTGTTACACAGTATGTTAACTAGTATCTATGTTTAACTTTAATTTTAACATACATTATCTTAGTATTTTATGTTAACCATCTTCTGAGGTGTGGTCTCATGTGCACTTTCTGCCTGCGACCTACTTGATAATTTAGTGTCTATGGAATCAAGCCTGCCTACCTTGATGCATACTAGGAGTAAGGAGGCAGAGAGGCAGTTCCACAAGTGCACTGAGCTTACTTTTTTATACTGCTCCTGACAGTTAAAGAAAAAACATTTTTTAATAAGCAACTTTTTACATTTGATATAACTATGTTGAATGCTGTGGGCACATGACTCTGCTTTCAGTAACGTACATATATTGCCGATCTCACCTTGGGGAAATAAACCAGTACAGGCAGAATACTTTCAGTATTGATTACCCTCATCTAGGCCAGGTGTTCTTTTACATGTTTCACATTATAACAAGCATATAGCAGTTGTAATCTGCAGTAGATGTTTGTTCTATAGTTGGCTGGCAGGAATGATCTTACCTGTCAGACAATGTGTATACCCAAGCAAGAGTGTGTACAACAGCTGGAATTCAAAGACTGAAATAGTTTTGTGGACTGAATAGATGATTGTATCCCTTTTGTGACTAGTTATCAACTGACACCAATTAGGCATATTGCCATCCTAATCTCTTAGGTAAAATTTTCATATAGGGTACTTTGATGTGATGAATAAGAGCAAGAAAATATGCTTCATTTGTATTTGTGTAGTAGCAGACTCATTTTGTTGTTTGTGTTTGTTTTTATTATTTTTTTAATTCTCACCCGAGGATTATTTTTTTTCCATTTATCTTAAGATAGAGTGGGAGGGGGAGAGAGAGAGAGAGACAGAGACAGAGAGACAGAGAGACATCGATGTGAGAGAGACACATTGACTGGTTGCCTCCTGCACGACCCCAACCAGGGTCAGGGACCAAACTGCAACCAAGGTACGTACCCTTGACTGGAATCAAACCCGTGACTCTTTGGTCTGCGGGCCGATGCTCTAACCTCTGAGCCAAACTGGCCAGGACTGTTTGTTTATTTTTAAATTGCATATTAATATAAATACAGTCTTTTAAAAAAAAATCTATGTATTGTTTTTTGTTTTTTTTTTAATTTATATATTTTTTCTTATATTAATTTGTTTTTGTTACATGTGTTTCTCGTTTTTTCCCCATTGACACCCTCCTCCCCTTCTCTCGGCCCCATTCCCAGCTTTGTTGTCTATGACCATTGGCATATAAGTTCTGTGGTTTATCTCTTTCCCCCCAACCCCCCTCCTCTGAGGCTTGTCATTCTATACCCCACCTATATGTCTCTGGGTCAATTTTGTTCATCGGTTTGTTTAGTTCATTATATTCCACAGATAAGTGAGATCATAAGTGATATTTGTCTTTCTCTGCTTGGCTTATATTGCTTAGCATAATACTCTCCAGGTCCTTCCATGCCATCTCAAAGGATAAGAGATCTTTCTTTCTTACAGCTGCATAGTATTCCATTGTGTACATGTACCACAGCTTTTTTATCCACTCATCTACTGATGGACACTTGGGTTGTTTCCAGATCTTAGCTGTTGTAAATAATGCTGCTATGAACATAGGAGTACATATATTCTTTCTGGTTGGTGTTTCAGGATTCTTAGGGTATATTTCTAGAAGTGGGATCATGGGGTCAAATGGCAGTTCAATTTTTAACGTTTTGAGGTAACACCATAGTGTTTTACACAGTGGCTGCACTAATCTATTGTTTTTAACTTGTCTTGGATAGTTTGCTTTAAGATTTTTTTCCTCAAATACAAATATTCACCATTATTGGTAAAGTTTCATATGGACTGAGTTAATAATAAACTAAGTCATTTTAATTCAGAGGCTTTGATTTTTAAGAAATATGTTTGAAGTTCATTGATTTATGTTGGATGATGACATCTGCTGGCAGAAGCGTAATATTGTAACTCAGCTTTATCAGAGATTGTGAAACCACCCCTTGCAAAGAAGGTGAATGAGAGGTGGAGACCTGTGAGTGTGAAATCTGAGAATTCCTCAAACCACACAGTTCTTGTCTTAAATGAGGCCAAAGGAAATTTAAGAGCAGAAGAGAGACCCACAAATTAAGAGGAAAGAAAGAGCTATGTGCTGGATGGCTATGGCTGTCTGTGATCTCATCCTCCATCGTTTTAGATTTCAAATTTAAAATATTTTAGAGGATACTTTTCCGTTTGTTTTATAGTAAAATTATATTTCCAATAAGAAATATTTTTACAGAAATGTTAAACCAATTTTGTTGTAGCTCATCTATTCAGATAATAAAGAATAACTTACTGCTTAGAGGGGGGAGACATACATGGAGGTTTATTACTGATATCAGATGGGAAGTTTGAAATAAATATGAAATATTTATTTGTCTGCTTAAGACTTTGCAGCCATTTGGTAATATAGATAATATTGTACTCTGGCCAGTTTGGCTCGGTGGTTGAGCGTCGGCCCATGTACCAAGAGGTCGCCAGTTTGATTCCTGGTCAGGGCACATTTCCAGGTTGTGGGCCTGATCCCCAGTGTGGGACATGCAGGAGGAGGCCAATCGATGTTCTCTCTCATCAATGTTTCTATCTTTCCCTCTTCCTTCCTCTCTCTCTCTAACATCATAAAGAAAAAAATAAAAATATAGATAACATTTATTCTTACTATATGCTAGACATTGATACTTTACAAGTGTTATTTACTTCTTACAATAACTTTAAAGTAGGCTATACTTTTATTATCATTTTTATGATGAGAAAAAGGAGATCAAGAGAAGTTAAGTAATTTGCCCTAAGTTACTTAGCTAATTCATGTTAGAGCTCATATTCCGGCCTGGGAAGTATGTTCACAGGAATAGATCATCTCAAAAGGAGGCGTACCCCAAGTCAAAATGGAAGTATCTAATATCTCCAACCTTTTTCATAGTCAAATTTTAATTTAGTAGTTTTTTTTCTTTAAAATTTTTTTTCTTCATTGGTAATATTTAATCTGCCTTTTGCTTTTTACATGTAAGTTTTATGCTTCTAGAAATATTTTTATTTTCAGTAAACTGTATATTTGTGGGATCCCATACCAGAAATTTAACTGTTTAACTCTTTAAACAGTTAAGGAATAACTTTCATAAAGCATAAATCTTGATAAATTTTTGTATAGATACTCCCATATGTTCACCACCCAGGTGAAGATGTAGAACATTTTCAGTACTTTACCAGGCTCTTTCCTCATCAGTATCTTCACCATCACTTATCCCCTCATCCCTGGGAAACCAGTATTCTGACTTCTATCTCCACTGGATAGTTTTACCTCTTTTCGAACTTCACATAAATGCAATTGTACACTGGGCAGTCTGTGTCTGATGTCTTTCATAAAACATTATGTCTGTTATATTCATGTAAGTTGTTGTGTATATTAGTAATCTGTTCTTTTCCATTGCTGTGTAGTATTTCATAATAGGAGTATACCACAGTTGATCCATTTCTACTATTGGTTGTTTTCAGTTTTTGGCTACTGCAAATAAAGCTATTGTAAACATTCTTGAGTACATCATTTAGTATACATAAACATTCACTTCTGTTAGGTATGTACCTGGCCTCCAGTTGCTGTGTCATAGAATATTTGTGTGTTCAGCTTTGGTAGGTACGCTAGAAGCTACATATTTTTCTAAATTTATCTTGTACCCTGATAACCTGTGATCTACCAAGAACACAATCATTTTTGTTAATAGTCTTTAAAAACTACTTGGGAAGGAGAACTTATTAAACAGGTAAGTAGATTTTGATACTGATCTATAGAGTAGTGCTATGTAGATAACTTTTTTTTTTATCCTCACTCAAGGACATTTTTCCTTTTTTGCTCAGATAGAGTGGGAGAGAAAGAGAGGAAGAGAGAGAGAGAGAGAGAGAAACATCGACATGAAAGGAACACATCAAGTGGCTGCCGCCCGCACAACCCCAACGTTGCTGGGGACAAACTACAACCGAGGTACGTGCCCTTAGCGGGAACCGAACCCCGGTCTCTCTGGACTATGGGCCGACACTCTAACCGCTGAGCCAAACCGGCCAGGGCCTTTTTTAAAAAAAAATGTATTAATAAACTAATACCAGGTTTCTATGTTGTATTACTTTGTACATAGACTAATAGGGGACTATGGGAGAAAATAATGAAGTGTAAGATACAGTTCTGCCTAGAGAAGCTTAGCTTAGTCAAGAGAATGAAAGATAAGCAATGTAGTATAATCTGCAAGTGATATATGATTTGTATAGACAATATGTGCTCTGGGATATTGAAGAGCAGTCACTGGACTGGAATGATTGGAAAAGGCTTCATGGAAGAGGGAAGCCTTCAGATGAGCCTTGATAAGTGGGTAGAATTTCATTGAAGAAATGGTTCATCTTGAGTAATGTTATAATAGGAGGATGAGAAAGGCTTTTGGGGGGTCTAAATGGGCCTGACTAGAGTAGAAAACTTGAATTGGGAGTGATGGAAAGATGGTTGGAAAAGTAAGTATGGTCAGGCTTTAGAGACTTGAAATGTCAGGTTAGGATTTTGTTTGAGTGCCCAATGTGTAGATTAAGTCCACTTTTATTCTTGTTCTCCAAGCTCTGAGTTTTTTTATAGTCAAAACATCAGAATTGTTACAAAGTTTTCTGCTTTTTAAAATTTCATTCCTACCCCCTCCCCCCAAAGTATGCAACCGGATAAGGAGCAAGGTAAAAGAGTCTTAACTGGATTTTAGAGAGAAATAACACCCTTGAGAGGGGTCTTGTAAATTGACAGATTTTACAAATAGCATTTAATAGGAATTTTAAAGACATGGTGTAGATAATTTTTGACTGGAGAACTTAATTGATTACAAACTGTATAAAAAGAATTTGAGGTCATTTTCTTTAGAGGTTATAGACCTCTAAAGAATATAATGAATTGAGCTGCCTGTGAAAGCCCCTTTTCCCCCTAATGTCTTATGATAAAAGCTTCTGAAGAATCATATTTCCAGAATTTGTTTTTCCTTCTTCCACACTAGTATCTTCAGATTGTAAGAAACAGATACATAATGAAACTTCTGCTGGAAGTGGAAGAGACTCATCAGCTATACAACAAAATTGGTCACTCCAAGATCATTATAGGATATATTCACCTATGATATACCAAGCCCTCTGTGAGCATGTGCAGACTCAAATGTCACTAATGAATAACTCAGCTTCAAAGAATAACCCTAATGGAATTCGTGCTGTACCTTGCCACACTGTGTCTGGTTCTGGTTAGTATGAATGATGTTTTTAAAACTCTAATTAAGTTGTCTGATAATTGTATAAGCAGTCTGAGATGTGAATGATTTTTTCCTCCTTATCTTATAGAAGCTCAGGAAACTCCACATTCTAGTTATGGCTTATCTACTTCCACACCAGTCCAGTTACCTCAGCAGCCACTCCACCCTTTAATGGTTCATTCTGTAGGTACAGTTTATATGCTATACAAGTAATTTGTTTTTAGAAATTGTTATCTTAAGAGAGAACATTGAAGGTATTGATTGTATGTATCTTAATACTCTAGGATGTGTAAAGACCAATTATTTTTTCCAAGTTATTTTTTATTTCCCAAGTTTTTATACCTATTTATTAAGAACAAAGGGGGTGGGGGGAGAGGGAGAGGAGATCAATAGAAGAAAGAAATCACTCATACCCACTACCCAAACACAATAGCTGTTAACATATTGATAGAGCACTTTCCAATCATTTAATTTTCTATGTAGACTGTTTTCTGGTTCTTATTTGTTAAGTTTGCTTTAAAAAAAATACTTGTAATTAAATTTTATACAGTGTTATATTCTGCTTCTTTTCACTTAACATTTTATTATTAACATGTTTATTTATATACATCATGTAAATTTGTAATTAGTTGATTATACACTGTTTAGTCGATATACTATAGTCTGTGTAACTACTCCCCTCTGGCAGACATTTAAGCAACAGTTGTTTATTACCATTACGTTTCTGTAAGTTTGTGCAAAAGCTTTTTGAATGTTTGAGCCTATTTTCTTACAATTAAATTTCCCAAAGTAGAAGTTTGTTTTAGTCCCCAAGTGGACTAATTTTTGATGCCTTTACCTTTAAACCATGTGTGATATTTATAAATAATCTATTTTAGTCATGGCTTTATAGTGTTCACATTGAAGAGTAAACTAATTAACTTAAAAAACTGTAATATTGTGCTAAGGGGAAATCCAGCTTACTCACTGGTAAGCTGTAACTCCATCCTGGAAAAGTCATTTTCTAATATTTCTGGTTTGAGTTTATTATAATTAATTTCAGTGCTCACATTTTTGAAGGCTTACCTTGTTTTTTTCTTTCTTTAGGAAGTTCAGACTGATGGTGACAACCAATTTGCGTCACAGCATAAAACTGTTTCTGTGAACTGTACTGATATTTTAAGGAATACCTTTAGTACTAGTCTTGGTGTTCAGTGTAACCTGCCCCAAACTGACAAACCAGCTGTTCCAGCATTTCAGCAACTGGATTTTGCTAATGGAATTCTTCCACAAGAAGAAGCTCCTCAGGAACCAGACCTGTTGAAGTACTTCCAAACGTATATGAATCTGTTGCGTTCTCATTCAGACAGTCAGACACACCGAAGCCCCACTCTATTACAGCCAGCTTTCTTGGCCACTAATGAAGAAAATTGTGCCAAAGAACAAATTGGAGAGGTCACAAGTGAAGGAAAGGATTTAAACATACACATGCGAGATTCAAGAATAAAAGGTGTCCAGAAAGCAAAAAAGGAGAACCAGGATGATGAAAAAGTTATAACTATAAAGTATTTGTTGGGAGAGCTGAAGACCCTGGTAGCAGAACAAGGTAGATGAGTACTTTCTTTATAATTTCCTCTAGCATGGTTTTAATGCTGTGTAGCAATGCCATATTATTTAGTCCTCCTTTAAATTCAGAGTAATCGATACGGAGTTTGTGGTATTCTCCATGGAAATACATCTTGAGCTAATAAGAAAATGAGTTCTGCTAGTTTTATTTCTTACTTACTAGGTTTTGATCCCTCTACTGTGGATTTGAATGTACTAGGGAATATCAGGCAACAGCCTTACTTGCAAGTATGTATTCATTCTGCTTGATCCAAAGGGATTTGAAAAGATTCAGCTGAAGAGAATTGTAGAGATAAACTTGAAGGGATTAGAGGATCCCTAAAGATGATTAACTCCCTGGAGAAGACTGATAATTATTTTATTTTATTTTTAAATGTTTTTAATGATTTTTTTTTTTTTTTTTTTTTTAATCCTCACCCGAGGATATTTTTCCATTTTTCTGTACAGATAGAGTGGGAGGGAGAGAGAGAGAGAAACATCGATGTGAAGGGACACATCGAGTGGCTGCCACCCGCACGACCAACCAGGGCCGGGGACAAACTGCAACCGAAGTACGTGCCCTTAGCGGGAACCGAACCCGGGTCTCTCCGGACCGCAGGCCGACGCTCTAACCGCTGAGCCAAACTGGCCAGGGCGATTTTTTTTTTTTTTTTAGAGAAAGAGAGAAACATCGATGTGAGAGAGAAACATCAATCGTCTGGCTGCCTCCTGTGCACCCCCTACTGGGAATTGAGTATGCAACCCAGGCACGTGCCCTGATTGGGAATCGAACCGGGACCTCTCAGTCCATGGACAATGCTCAATCCACTGAGCCACACCAGCTGGACAATTTTTTAATTTTAAAATGATGTAGAGATGCCCTGGCCCATTTAGCTCAGCAGTGTGCATCGGCCCATGGACCAAAGAGTCTTGGGTTTGATTCCAGTCAAGGGCACGTACCTCAGTTGTGGTTCGTCCCAGGCTCTTGTTGGGGTCGTGCGAGAGGCAACCAGTTGATATGTCTCTCGCTCGTTCCCTCCCTCCCACTTTATCTGAAGATAAAAATGGAAAAAAGTATCCTTTGGTGAGAATTTAAAAATAAATAGATAAATATAAAAGATGCAGAGATTATTTTCCCATTGTTTCTTTAATAACCAACTGTTCTAATGTTTAACAAATCTCACTGTGAGAAGTAACCCAAACCTTTATATAGCTTTTTCGTTTTACTTTTGGGTTTTATTTTTAATTAAATCAAGAAATATATTTTAAGTGGAGTTATGAGATAGTTGAGTCAAATTGTATTCATTTGTTTGCATTATGTGTGTGTATTCTAAATAATGGCTTTTGCTTAGAGTGAGTTACAGATTTGTCATCTTAGAAAGCATGGTAATTGATTGTGGAAGCACTAATTGAATACCTGATATTTGCAGACTGACAAACAAAATATAAAATCTTAAAATGTATCTATAGGAATATAGCATTATTATTCCAGAAGTTTGATACATTAAAATCTACTTTCAGACCTTCAGTTTATCACTTAACCAAATACTTAATCATAGTAACAATAATAATAGTAACAATATTTGCTGTCACTTATTGAACATTTACCATGTGCCTGGCACTGTGCTGTGTTTTTTTTTCATCCTCACCCGAGGACACTTTTCCATTTTTTGTTCAGATAGAGTTGGGGGGGGGGTAGAGAGAGAGAACATCGATGTGAAAGGGACACATCGAGTGGCCATCTCCTGCACGACCCAACCAGGGCCGGGGACAAACTGCAACCAAGGTATGTGCCCTTCGCGGAAACCGAACCCGTGTCTCTCAGGACCGGAGGCCGACGCTCTAACTGCTGAGCCAAACCGGCCAGGGCTGTGCTAAGTGTTTTATGTGCATTATCTCATTTAATCCTCACAGCAACCTTATGAGGTACTGTTACTGCTTTCATTTTACAGATGATGAAACCTAGGCTTGGAGGACAGTATCTCATTTAATCCTCTTAGCAACACTATGAGGTACTGTTATCTCCATTTAACCATGCAGAAATTTAAGCTGCAAGAGTTAAGAAATTTGACTAAAGCTATATTGCTAGAATGTGGTGGAGCCCAGGTCACTGCCTCCAATAATTATGAGGAAAACCACTGTACTGTACAAATGATTGGTAAAAGACTGCTTAGTAATTGGGCACAGTTGTTTACTGTGTGCATAAACTTTTCATTAGAGTGTTAAAATACCCATATGATGAGTTATTTTTATAACTTAGAATATACTTCCTACTTCTTTTGGGTATCACACAGTTAATATTATAATTATTAAATGTTTCCAATCTATAAAATATTGAGTAGAAATGAAGGGGAAAAAAAATAAAAGGACAAATTATCTAAATTCCAGCCCTGGCCAGTTTGGCTCAGTGGTGAGAGCATTGGCCCACAGACCTGAGGGTCTTGGGTTTGATTCCCAGTCAGAAGCACATACATGGGTTGCAGGTTCGATCCCCAGCCCTGGTTGGGGTTTTGCGGGAGGCAGCTGATTGATGTGTCTCACATCATTGTTTCTCTCTTTTCCTCCCTCCTTTCCACGCTATTTAAAAGTCAATGGAAAAATATCTTTGGGTAAGGATTAAGAAAATTAAAAAATAAATAAAAAGTGATCTAAATTCTACCTCCTACCTGTTTCTGCAACCTTCAAAACCATCCAGTTCTCCCATTAATTAAAAAAAAGGGGGGGGGGGTACTGCTATCAAATGAGGTGTGACTAGTTGTGTTAAATCTCCTTTATAAAATTAAATAATAAAACCTCATCTTAGTATTCCCTCAATATTTTGCCAAATTGAATCATTTAAAGTGAATTATTTGCAACAGAATCAAAGACTATGTTGTAAATGTGAATACTGTGTCAATTATAGGAAACCCATTAGCAATTACAGGAGTCTCTAGTCCTTTGGCTATGTAAACTAGGAGACAAATGTAAACTATCTTCCTGTTAGACTCTTTAACTGAGAAATATCACTAATATAATAATGCTATGATTTAAGATGAATCTTTAGTGTCTGAATGTAACTTATTTAGAATTTTTCTGAATAATCAGGCAGCAGGAAAGAGGAAAATAGGGTTTGTGTATTAAATTTAGAAATAATTAAGTTGAGAGTTTATTTATAACAAATATGTACATATCTGAAAATTTTTCGTTTTCAGTAATGCACATGAATAATCTTACCCAAAAAACGACTTATAATATGTTTTTACTCCCTTCTGCCTTCTGCCTTTTGTAGAGGATTCAGAAATTCAGAGACTGATTACAGAATTGGAGGCCTGTGTATCTCTGCTTCCAGCAACAAGTGGAACCACAGATATTCAAGTTGAAATAGCACTGGCAATGCAGCCACTAAGAAGTGAAAATGCTCAGTTACGCAGGTAAGAATTGCTCTGAAATATTTTTGTCTTCATATAGAGATGTTCCATGGCCAGAACAAAGGTGCCAAATGAGATATCTAGGGCTCCATAAGAAAAATAGATTTACTGTGTTTCTACTTTTTCATCCCCATTTTTTAAACTTTGTTAGCATGTTTTAACATTTCCATTACTTCTGCTCAGTGGTACATATTTTCTCCCACCTCCCGTACCTCTATTATCACTGGTTGGTAGTGTATAGAGAGCAAAAAGAAGTACCTCAGGGTATTTATCAGGTTAGTCTAGGCTATACTATAGTAACAAAGTCCAAAATATCAATGGTATAACATAGCAAAAGTGTATTTCTCCCTCGCAGCAAGACTGGCTTGGGTCATCAGCGGCCTTCTTTCATCCTTTGACTCAGGACTTCATTTCCCTTCATTCGAAGGCCATTGTCTGAGTGTTTTCCAGGAAAAAGAGAACATAGATATGGCACACTGACTCTTACATGCCCAGCCCAGAAGTGACTATCTCACTTTTTATATTTCATAGGCTGAAAATAAGCATATGGCCCTCATATTTCCCACACAGGAAATGAGAGCCTGATATGTGTGAGCACTAGTAGCCCCATCATACTCAGGCATAGGAAAAAAACCCCACCTCATTTCAATTTCTTTTGACCATCTGAACTTACAGTGGCATTACAGTTTTAATTTGTTTAGAAAAGATGTAAACCAGGGTTCTAATCTTGAAATGAAGATATCACTTACATATTATCAATAACATCTTAAATTTGAGTGTTTCAGTGATGAACACCAAGGCCATCACCCCAGTGTCTGTTTATCACCCCAGTATACTTTGCAGAGATTTTGGCACATTTCTAGATGCTTCTGCAGCTCCGCAATGTGAGTGTGCCCTGAGAGGGCATTGCAGTTGCATGAGTGATAGAAGTTATACCAGGCAGTACCTGGAAAGGCCTGAAAAAACATTGTCAAGAAACCGGAAAGCAATAAAATAGAAATCCTAGCCCTGGCCATTTTGCTCAGTGCTTAGAGCATTGGCTCGTGGACCAAAGAGTCTAGGGTTCGATTCTGGTCAAGTGCATGTACCTCGGTTGTGGTTTGGTCCCTGGCCCTGGTCTGTCTGGGTCGTGCGGGAGGCAGCCAATCGATGTGTCTCTCTCACAACAATCTTTCTCTCTCTCTGTCTCTGTTTCCCTCCCACTATCTGAAGATAAATGGAAAAATGTCCTCGGGTGAGGATATAAAGAAAAAAGGGATCCTGGTTGTAAAGTTGCTTAAATTCATGGATCTGGTGCCTGCAGACATGACACCCAGTGAGATTTACTTGCTTAGGATTATTTCTCTGACGATCATTAGTCCCTAGATACTATGATATATGATAGGGTTGCAGAGTTTAAACTCTAATAACGTTGTCCTCATTTCTGGCCTAAATGATTTCTATACTAATAGCATTAGTTTTTCAAAATCAAAACCAGTATAAATAATAATAATGTTAATAGCCAATACTACTTCTTTTATTGGATGTTTCTTATGTACTAGGATAAAAACAACCTTTTTTTAAAAAATCCTCATGCAAGAATATGTTTTTATTGATTTTAGAGGGAGAGAAAGGAGGTAGAGAGAGAGAGAGAGAAACATCCATGTGAGAGAGAAACATCTATTGCTTGCCTCCTGTACACGCCCCCACCAGGGATCGAACCACAACCTGGATATGTGCCCTATCCAGAAGGGCGCTCCAGCCAGCTGAGCCACACTGACCCAGGTTTAACAACCTTTATATGTGTAATCTCTTTTAAAATCTCACAACAGCTCTGTAAGATAGGTATTGTGTTATTCTCATTTACAGATGAGGAAACCAAGGCACAGAGGTTATGTAACTTGCCCAAGTTCACATACCTAAGAAGGAACAGAAACAAGACTCAAACCTGGACAGTTTGATTTTTTAGAGCATAGTCCTCTTAATTTCTGTACTTTTACATTGCCTTTGCTAGGAAGTAGAGACTAACTTATTTATACTTCAATATTTAGGTGCATTTTGTGAAGCAAAAGAATATACTTTAAGCCATTTAAAATAAACAAGCATGTTTTAAAGTTACAACTATCAGATAATTGGTTTCTTAAGTAAATGACCAGAATTTAGTTTTAGAATACTATTTTAACATTGTGATCATGGGTAATGTCAATGGTTATTATTTATTTTTACTCCTTAGAACATTTTAAAGTTGTTTTATGAGCTTATTTTTAAACCCTTTAAGAAAATAATACTCACTACATTATTGGTCATTTGTTTTTAATTCTTTTAAAAAGTTATTAGTTTGGCCCGGCTGGTATGTCTCAGTGGATTGAGTGTCATCCCATGGACTGAGAGGTCTTGGTTCAATTCCCGGTCAGGGCACATGCACAGGTTACAGGCTCTATCCCCAGTAGGGGGCATGCAGGAGACAGCCCATTGATGTTTCTCTCTCATATCGATGTCTCTGTTTCTCTCTCCCTTCCACTGTCTGTCTAAAAAATCAATAAAAACATATTTTTTAAAAAGTTATGAGTTTGATGTCTTGAACTAATTCTTCAGACTCAGCATCAGAGTTTTTGGCTCTGTGTCCTTAGAGGACAAAGATTATATAGCATACTATTGCCACTAGTTCAGTGGTTCCTAAACGAAGTAGTACTGCTCCAAGGCACATCCAGAAAATTTGGAAATATACCAGGGCTTTTGGAGGTCACAATGAATGGGGCACTGCATACCTTTTGTGGGTAGGAACCTGGAAGGCTGAATGTGGAGCTCTGTGTCAGGAATCCCACATAAAAACTGTCCAGCCCCAAATGCCCATTTGCCTTGGAAACAATGCACCTAGCTATTTTTTTAAAGCCACAAGATAGCAATAAACTCCAAGAAAGCCCTGAAAGATCACTTTCTGGCTAAAAAGAACCATGTAGTTGCTAAATGTCCAAACAGAAACAAAACTGTTTTGTTTGAAAGTGCTGCAGAACACTTTTGAATGAGCCAGTGCATTCCAACTTTCATTTGTAATGGAGATTATGGTTGATTCTTTCTAAATTAAGATTTCCAGAGACACAAAAATTCCTATACTTGTACTGGAAACTTGGTTCTGCTAAAAAAGAGAGCATATATCTGACAAATTCTTCATTTTTCAATAATTACATTTTTAGAAAGTCAAGTTAACAGTAGAGAGTGCCTTAATATTTATAGGACAAGTTAGAATTCATGACCACTTCTTGACTTTAGACTCCAATACAAGACCGTTATGTACCCCCGCAGAACAAAAAAGTGAAATGGAGTGGCATTCAATTTTTTGGTTTGATCATTTGACAGATGGTAACATAATTCTTCCAGGTGGAAGCTACTAGAGAAAGACTAGATTATTTGTTTTTTATTTCACTTTATTTTTGAGTTAGAAGATGTAATGGGAAAGAGCCAGTGAGCTAAGATTTAGACATGCTGAATGTGTTATTTAGACCATCTGGCCACATGCATGGTACAAGTGGAACACAGGAATATGATCCAGGATAGAAATGTGGACTTGGGAGTTATTCATTGAACACATTTTTATTGAGCTTTTACTACATATCTGGCACTGGAGACAATGGTGATTAAAAGCAAATGATTTATTATCAGCGTAGAAATGATAAATTCACCAGGATGGTATAAAATGTGAACACAGCCAAAGATGAATTGCTAGGGAATAACAGCTTTTTAACACAGGAAGAGAAACCTGTGAAAGAAACCTGAGAAGGAACTAAAATGGAAGTGGCAAGAAAACTAGGAGAGAATGGTGTCACAAAATCTATGGGAAGAAATAATATATAGAAGGAGAGATCATTGCATTACATTCAAAATAAACTGACAAAAGAAACTAAGGTGATCAAGAATAAATATCCCAAGATGAATCGCCCAAAGAAAACACAAGTAAACTTGAAACAGTATTATAGTCTCCAGGAAATTAATAGAATCCTTTTTAGAGGCAGAAAAAGAGATTGAGAGAGAAAATTCTTAAAGACAAGACAATAAAAGAAGAAAAGTGAATATGATGAGTTCAGGAACATAAAAGAGATAAGCAAAAAAATATTATTAAAAAAGGAATGCCCCATTAGAAACAATAAAAAGTAAATAAACATGAAATCAGGGATATTATATTTCATAAGAACCTAAGCAATATGAAGACTGGGTGTTTTTTATTGATTTTAGAGAGATAGGAAGACAGAGGGAGAACATTGATTAGCCACCTCCTGCATGCCTCCCGACCCCCACTGGGGATCTGGCCCACAACCTGGGCATGTGCCCTGACCGGGAATCAAACTGGTGACCTCTTGGTGCAACCACTGAGCCACACCAGCTGGGCAAGGCTGAGTGTTTTTTGTTGTTGCTTTTAGGATTTATTGTTATTTCTGCTTCAGTTGCTACAAATTCATAGTGTCTCCTGATAGCGTTATGTTACTTCTCTTCCCAAATCCTTTTTAAAAATAATCTATTAATTTTTTATTGTGGTAAAATATATGACATAACATTTATCTTTTTAACCATTTGTAAGTGTACATTTAAGTTCTATTAAATATAAATGTATTCACAGTGCTGTCTTCCCATAACCACTATTTATATCCAAAACATTTTGCATCCCCAATATAAACTCTGTTCCTCTTAAACAGTAATTCTCCTTCTCTCTTCCCCTCAGTAATTTCTATTCTCCTGAATTTTTGTTTGTTGTTTGCTGCTGTATTTCCTGTTCTGAGAATTGTGCCTAGCACTCACTCTGATAAATATTTGTTAAATGACTGAATGCATAGTGGATAAGCTTGAAGAAATAATATAAAATTAAATTAAAAAGGAATAATCTAAAAATTATTACAAAGAAGATGATACATATGGAAGAGAAGCAAAATTGACATAGTGTTCCTGAAAAAGAGAACAGAACAAATGTATTAAAGACAATGTTTAAAAAATACATAAATAAAGGAAAATACACTAATCTACAGATATGTCAGAAGATCAGTAGGTCATATAGGATCCCAGAAAAACTATAAAAATGATCAACACCAGGACATATACCTTAGGTATAAGATAAAATTAACTTTTATAGACACTCAAAATAAAAGGCGTATCATGTATAAAGAGAAAATATCAGGCTGACTTCAGCCTTTTCACAGCAGTATTCATTGCCTGCAGATCACAGAATATAACTTACAAGGGGAAAGAAAATATGCCCAAGAATCATGTGATCCAGCTGCCCTTTTAGTTAAAGGCAACAGTCATATTCTCAAGTATGCAAGAATTCAGGAAATAGAGCACCGTTGAACTCTTAAAAAAATTGTTCAGTGACAAAGTCCAGTCAACCAAGAGTTGAATTTACATAAAGGAGTGGATTAGAGATGAATACTGAATCGAAGACAACTGTGAGAATTATAATTACAGAATATAATATGTTCGTAATCTTGACAATGTAAATTTTATTTATTTTTTATTTAGGAATGTGGGATTGTTTGGGGGTGTTTTTTGTTGTTGTTGTTGTTGAGTTTTTGAAATAGAGAAATATTTACCTAAAGTTCATTAATGAGTTCTGGTTTTACTTATTACTTTTCCTTCAGTTAAAATCACATAATCTTAAATTCAATACATATTATTTTTAAATGATGTTTGTAATAATAACCCATTATTTAAAATTTTTGTTTAGCTTATTTTTCTGTTTGTCTCTACTAGAAAAATATGTGAATAATATCTAGCAAATAATGATTAATATTCTGTTCAGGATTGTGCTAGAGTGTCTAGCCAGTGCAAAAAGGCAAGAAAAGAAATAGAAACCAGCCACATTGGGAAAAAAGAAGTAAAACTGTCTTATTTACAGGTGACATGATAGTTTTTGTAGAAAAGCCTAGGAAATCTACAAAAAAGCTACTAGAATTAAAAAAGAGCATAGCAAAGTTGTAGGAGATCAGTATACAAAAGCCAATTATATTTGTATGTATTAGCAATGAACAATTTGAAATGCAGTTAAAATAAATACAACTTATATTAGCATCCAAAAATACGAACACTTTAGGGATAAAATGGATAAAAGATGTATAGGACCTGGACAGTGAAAACTACAAAACATTGCTGACAAAACTTAAAGACCTGTATAAGTGAGAGAGAAATCACATCCATAGATATTTTCTTCCAGACTATTAATTCTAGAACAACTTTCAAATTTTCACATAAATTTTTTATTCTTCCCTTTGGTGGTTGCTAGATTTTGAGTCTTGCTTAGGAATGCCTTCCCCACTTCAATATTATGTAGATTCCTACCTAAAACTTGAATAGTTGGTTTTGTTTGCAAATTTTATGTTTAGGTGTTTACTACGTCTGGAATTAATACAAGTAAACAGTGTGATTCAGTAACAGAATTCATACTTTAATCTAGAATATTTTCAGGTAAGTAATTTTAGAAAGATACTAGAGATAACCTTTATTTAATGTTAACTTCTTAGAAGTAAAGGAAACACTTGTAATTCCCTTTGTATGTTCATATTTGTGAAGCAACTATATATTGTGAAGTTCATTTGTAGGGCAAAGTTGCTACATATTAGCATTCTCTTTACCTAAACAGGCCATTAACTTTTCCATCCAATAAAGACAAAATTAGAGACATAGATTTGCTTCCCAATTTTTTTAGTGTATGACAAACTAAGCAGATAGATGTCTGATAGCAGTCAGTCCCTGTAGGTATTCTAGTTCATAGTTATGTCAGATCTTTTAAAAACTAGATCATTCCAACAGTAATGAAAATACAGAGAAGCCCTGACCAGTGTGGCTCAGTTGGTTGGGCATAGTCAGTGTACTGTTTAGATTCCCAGTCAGGGCATTTCCTGGTCAGGGCACATGCTGGGTTGTAGGCTTGATCCCAGGTAGGGGGCTTGTAGGAGGCAACTAATAAATGTCCCACTATCACATGAGTGTTCCTCTTTCTCTCTCCCTTCCTCTCTCTCTAAAAATCAATACAAATATATATTTTTAAAATACAGAGAAAACAAAAGAAGAGATAGGAAATGAAAGAAGGAAACAAGGGAATCACTGGAAAGAAAAGAAAATGAAAAAGAGGTTAAGAGAAGTTATCCTTTTAATCTTAGGCCTACAAATAGTAGTAGTGTGGTTTTGTTTTGTTTATGTGGTTTTTCTGTCTTTTGTTTTGGGGATGATATGGACTTCTGCTCTCCTCCTGGGTGCCACCATTTGTGTTGTCTTTTTAAATAGGGTGTCAGATGTACACTGTTAAGTGAACTTGGGATTTTTGCATTCATATTTCTTCATTATTTCCTTTAGGCAATTGAGAATTTTGAACCAGCAACTTAGAGAACAAGGAAAAACTAAAAAGACATCTGGTTCACAGGAATGCAACCTTGAATGTAGGTAAAAGAACCTTAAGAACTTATGGTAAATTCTTTGTGGCTCTGGAAATATTGATAAAGAATTGAGCTTTCTTGCCCGGCCGGTGTGGCTCAGTGGATTGAATGTCATCCCATCTGAGAGGTCTCGGTTCATTTCCAGTCAGGGCACATGAACAGGTTTCAGGCTCTATCCCCAGTAGGGGGCATGCAGGAGGAAGCTGATGTTTCTCGCTCACATCGATGTTTCTATCTCTCTAAAAAAATCAGTAAAAACAATTTTTTTTCTTAAATTGAGCTTTCTTAATTATTATTATTATTATTATTTTAAATCTTCACCCGAGGATATCTTTATCTTCAGATAGAGTGGGAGGGGGAGAAAGAGACCTAGTGCAAAACATTGACATGTGAGAGACACTTCACCTGGTTGCCTCCCACACGACCCAGACCAGTGCTGGGGACAAACCACAACTGAGGTACGTGCCCTTGACTAGAATTGAACCCGAGACTCTGGTCCACGGGCCAATACTCTAACTGCTTAGCCAATCCGACCAGGGCAAGCTTTCTTAATTATTTTGTCTTAAGTGTGCTTTTTTTTTTTAAATCCTCACCCAAGGATATGTTTTTATTGTTTTAGAGGGAGAGAAAGAGAAACATTGATGTGAAAAGAAACGTCAATCATTTGCCTTCCATATGTGCCCCAAGCAGAAATCGAACCTGCAACCTAGGTTTGTGCCCTGACCAGGAATCAAACCTGAAACCTTCTGGTGTACGGGATGATACTCCAACCAACTGATCCACTGGCCAGGGTAGACTTTCTTTTTAATCAAAGATTTTAAAGAAATGAATAATACTCCTTATTAAAACTTAAAATCGCCCTGGCCGGTTTGGCTCAGCGGTTGCCTGAGGACCAGAGAGTCCTGGGTTCAGTTCCTGCTAGGCCCTAGCGGCTAGGGGCACGTACCAAAAAAAAAAAAAAGAGAGAGAGAGAAAAAGAAGACAAAACTTAAAATATGTTAGAAACAGAAAAATAAAAGATCCATATCACTTCCCAATAATATATCCCTATTTCTTTTAAAGAAGTTATACAGTATTTCCTTTTATATATCCTCTGTTAATATAATTAATTCATTTCACAAATAGTTACTGAGTACCTATGATGTAATACTAGGGAATACTAGAACTATGTAAGTACTTTTCTTTTTTAGAAGTGAGATTTGTATGGTACATACTTTTCTGTAGCTTGCATTATTTATTTAACATGTAGTAGCATTTTCCTCAAGCGAAATACATAAATATGTTTTTTTCTATTTAAGAACTACTTGGAGCCCTGGCCGGTTTGGCTCAGCGGTTAGAGCGTTAGTCTGTGGTTCAGACCCGGGTTCGGTTCCTGCTAGGGCCGCGTACCTCAGTTGCAGTTTGTCCCCAGCCCTGGTTGATCGTGCGGGTGGCAGCCACTCGATGTGCCCCTTTCACGTCGATGTCTCTCTCTCTCTCTCTCTCTTCCTCTCTCTCCCTCCCACTCTGTCTGAACAAAAAATGGAAAAATGTCCTTGGGTGAGGATAAAAAAAAACAAACAAAAAACTACTTGGAACCCTGGCTGGTTTTGCTTAGTGGTTAGAGCATTGGCCAGCGGACCAGTGGGTCTCGGGTTCAATTCTGGCCAGGGGCACATACCTCGGTTGCGGTTCGTCCCCAGCCCTGGTCCGGGTTGTGCAAGAGGCAACCAGTTGATGTGTCTTTCTCACGTCAATGTTTCCCACTCACTCTCTCTCCTTCTTCATCTCTCCCTCCCACTCTATCTGAAGATAAATAGGGAAAAAAAACCAAACAACTACTTGAATATTCTGCTTATATGGTTATATTCATAATGTATTTAAAGTCCTCTGCTGATAAATATCTAGGTATTTCCCCTATTTCCGAAAGCAGAAAGTGCTACAGTGAAAATCTTATACATGTGTCTTTGTATATGTGGGTGTGCATTTTTACAGAGAATAGTAGAATTGATGAATCAGTGGGTATATATCATTGCAATCTTGACAGATATTACCATATTGTCCTTATGGATCATGGAGCTTGAAGTAAAAGAAAAAACTATTAGTACTAGAGGAATTTTTTTTTTTCTTCTAATCCTTACTCGAGGACATTTTTGCATTTATCTTCAGATAGAGCGAGAGGGAGAGAGTGGGGAAGAGAGAGAGAGAAACATCGATCTGAGAGAGACACATCAAGTGGTTGCCACCCACACACCGGGGCTGGGGACAGACTGCAACTGAAGTACATGCCCTTAGCGGAAACCGAACCCAGGACTCTAGTCCACAGGCCTACCCTCTAACCGCTGAGCCAAACCAGCCAAGGCTTATTTTTTTTTAATTTCGGGAACTTTTTCTAAGTCTGAGAAAAACTCAGATTTCACAAAGGAAAAGACTGATAAAATATATCCCAGATTTTTTTTTATTTTCTGCACAGCAAAATTATAAATACATTCAAAATGCATCGACAAAATGGGGAACATTTTTTTATTTTTTATTAAATGATATGGCAAAGGCTTGATTTTCTTAATATTTGGAATAAGAAAAATACAAGCATCCAGCAGAACATGCACCTCATAAAAGTGTTCAACTTCACCAATGTAATTTTGGAAAAGGTCATTTGATCCTACTCTGAATAAATGTTGGGTGGGTATAGGGAGGGAGAGAGGAGGCCAATATGGAAAGTAGGGAGATCAGTGGTTCCCATTTTAAGTAGCTATTCTCTTTTTATTCTCCAGGCATTTACTTATTGTTTCCTTGAGAGCATTTATTGCTATTTATAATTACCTGTTTGTTACCATCTCTATGAGAGCATCGACCATGTCTCTGTTGTTCACCACTGTATTCCCAGATTTTATTGCAGTGCCTCAAACAAAGTAAGCGTTCACTGAAGGCTGCATTTTTTAAGTGGATGGTGTCACATAGATAGCCATGAAAAGGAATGTGGTAACCCTGTGCTAAATTATAAAATCTTAAGGGAGGAAAAAAGGCAAGGTTAGAAACTGGATATATTATAGTATGACTCAGTATGTTTGAATATTTATGTTATGCAAAAGTATTTTCCAGAAAGTATTTTCAAAATTAATAGTGATTGCCTCCAGGGGAAAGTTGAGGTGGGAGTGGGAGAGAGACTCTTAATTGAGAATCATTGGTATTATGTGGTTTTTGAAATTTTGAAAAATTTGTGTATGTATTATTCTTTCATTTAAAAAGGTAAAAAAAAAATAGCACGGCCGAAGTGGCTCAATGATTGAGCATCGTCTCATGCACCAAAAGGTTGCTGGTTCAATTTCCGGTCAGGACACATACCTGGGCAACCCATCAATGATTCTCTCTCACATCGATGTTTCTCTTGCTTTCTCTAAGCATATCCTCAGCTGAGGATTAAAAAAAAACAAACGTTAAAAAAATTGTTTTAATGCCCCAAATAATCAATTGGAGAAGAAAGGCATGACTTTTGGCAAATAATTTTTAAAAATTCATTTGGTATTAACATGTAATTAATTGTTAAGCAAAATCAGTAAATTTTAAACCTTTTTTTTTAAACAGCTCTTTTCCAGGTTTGTACTTTATAAATTGGGGAAACAATGATTAGATCTGTTTTGTCTTATAGTGTTTTCCCTTCAATCATTGAATAAGTCACTGCAAAATCAATTACAAGAGTCACTAAAGAGCCAGGAATCACTACAGAGTAAAAATGAAGAGCTTTTAAAAGTGATTGAAAATCAGAAAGATGAAAACAAAAAATTTGCTGATATATTTAAAGAGAAAGATCAAACTATACTTGAAAATAAACAGCAATTTGACATTGAGACAACCAGAATAAAAATTGGTATGTATTTGAGCTGTAGTTATGGTCACCTTTTTAAAAAAATAAGAAAACTGAAACTTATTTGTCATTTTAGAATTGGAGGAAGCTTTAGTCAACGTGAAAAGCTGCCAGTTTAAGTTAGAAGCTGCTGAAAAGGAAAATCAGATATTGGGAATAACTTTACGTCAGCGTGATGCCGAGGTGACTCGACTGAGAGACTTAACCAGGTAACGTTTGACATTTGAATAACTGCTCCTTTTAATAGGTTTACCTGTAAACTTCAAAATAATTTTAGGCCTGCTCTCTTTTCCTTATTTTGTCAATGTTTTTGCTAATTTTTAATGTTGTTGTTTTGTTTGTTTTTCTATTTCAAATAAGTTAATTTAGAAGATCAGACCCTGGCAGATGCTTTTTAAAATGATTTTAGGAAAAGGGCTCTGGTGAAGAGCTAAAGACTTGTTTAGCAAAATGGTTAAGAGCTTTCTGGCTCTGATGCTAGAGAGAGACCTGAGAGAACTCTGCCATGTTTTAGCTATTGACTTTGAGCAAGTTTATCTCTCTGAACTTTATCTATAAAGTGGGGACATGAATAGGGTTGATGGGGGCACAAAGAAACAACTCAGGAGAAGCAGTTAGCATATAGTAAGCCTTCATGCCATGTGATCCTGGACAAGTCATTTAGCCTCCTTGAGCCCTGTTCATCAGTAAAATGAGTTGGCAGCTACCCTTGAAATCCCTATGTTCCTGAAGAAGTCTTTACTCAAATAAAATCACCTCACTCAATTTTCAGATGATATAGCACATGATATATACTTATAAATTTTAGTTTTCTCGTTAGACATTTGCAAAGAATTGGATTTTCAACTACTTTTTAAAATCCCAGAAGGGAAGGAATTAATCTTGGGCCTGAGTATCCTCAGATCTGCACATACCTTTGAATGATCCTGGAAGTTCATAGTTCCACATATAAAACAATCTTGACTATAAAACAATCTCCTTTGTATTTTAAATGAGGGGATCCATTTTGAATTATAAACTTTTAGGAAAATAGATGAAATAATAATATATATGTAATATTTAATTTATTAGTTTAGTTTTATAAACATAGCATAGAAATACTGCTTTTTGTCCACATTTATATTTCAAAGAATAATTTCATTCAAACTTTATTGAACAGTGGGAAAAGCAAAAGGCTTCTTGTATCCACAGAGTATTATAATTAATTAGGCTTTAGTCATCATTTCTAAAATATTGGCCTATACCACTCTTGTTCAAAGTGAAGTAATTGAGAGAATTTTCTTTCTTATGAAAGTCTTTATAAGGTTTCCAAAGAAATAACATCTCTTCTGAGGTTACTTTTGGGGTGAAAACTGTTATTAAGTATTTATGGTAAAAGAAGCCAGTCACAAAAGGCAACATATTGTGTAATTCCATTTATATGAAACGTCCAGAATAGGCAAACTCACGGATATAAAAAGTAGATTAGTTGCCGAGGGCTGAGGAAAGAGGGGAAGAATAGGGAGTGACTGCTAATGAGTATAGAATTCCTTTTTAAGGTGGTGAAAGTGTTCTGAAATTAGAGATGACGGTTGTACAACTCTATGAAATACTAAAAATCACTAAGTTGTTTAATTAATTTTTTTGTTGATCCTTATCTGAGGATTTTTTTTTTTTTTTAAATCCTCACTTGAGGATATTTTTCCATTGCTTCCCCCCCCCCCCCAGATAGAGTGGGAGGGAGAGAGAGACAGAGATGTGAGAGAGACACATCAATTGGTTGCCTCCTGCATGACCTTAACCAGGGCTAGGGATTGAACCTGCAACTGAGGTCTGTGCTCTTGACTGGGAATCAACCTGTAACTCATTGGTGATGCTCTAACCTCTGAGCCAAATGGACCAGGGGCTGAGGATACTTTTCCATTGATTTTCAGATTGAGTGGAAGGGAGGGAGGGAGAGAGAGAAACATCAGTGTGAGAGAGACACATCAGTTGGTTGCCTCCTGCATGACCCTCACTGTGGCAGACACTACTCACTCCAGAGAGACCCCCATCCCTCCCTTCAGAAGCACCCCCCCACACACACCTTTTCCCTCTTAGTTGCTCACAGAGGACTAAGCGGTAGTAGGTCTTGTGTGTGCTGTCCCCTGTGTCTCTCACATGGTCGGGGCCGCAGTGGGGCAGTAGCTAAATTGGGGAGGTTGTTCTTTTCCACCAGGAAAGACTGGTTTGCACTAGATTTATACAAGAACTGAGTGGGAGGAGAATTGGAACAAGAGGGAAGGTGTGTTTTTTTTTTTAATCCTCATCTGAGGATATTTTTTTCATTGATTTTTAGGAGAGTGGAGGGGGTGGGGGGAGAGAGAGAAACATCAGTGTGAGAGAGACACATCAATTGGTTGCCTCTCGCATGTGCCCCGACCAGGGCTGGGATGGAACCTGCAACCCAGGTACATGCTCTGGACTGGGAATTGAACCTGCAACCCTTCGGTCCGCCAGCCTATGCTTTGACCACAGAGCCAAACCAGCCAGGGCTAAGTTGTATACTTTTAAAAGGTATATTTAATATTGTATATAAATTATATCTCAGTAAACTTTTTTTTTTAAGTATATATGGTATATAGTCAATTTGGAAAAGAAAAACAGGACGGTAAGTCAGCATGGTCAAGGGTGATGAGTGTTTCCAGCACTCTAAGGTGCTTGATCCACAGCTCCAAGCTATAAATTAAGTAGAAGACCTAATTAACTGGGAGTTTGTTTCTCACAATTTTTAAAAAAAATTTATTTATTGATTGATTTTAGAGAGAGAGAGAGGAATGGAGAGGGAGAGAGAGAAAAAGAGAGAAACATCGATTTTCATTGTTCCACTTATTTATGTATTCATTGGTTGATTTCTGTATGTGCCCTGACCAGGGATCGAACCTGCAACCTTGGTGTATCGGGACAACACTCCAGCCAACTGAGCTACCCAATCAAAGCCTCACAATTTTTTATTCATACCACAAAATCCAACTCTTTTATTGGTGTGAAATCAGAAGCTGATATTATCTTTTATTTATAAAGTATTTTGACTTTTTTTTAAGTCCTATCTCTCTCATATTTATTGTTTTATTTGTCCTTATTTATGGAAGGAAGATTTTAATACCTGCATTTTTATAGATGGGAATACTGGTACCATACAAGTTAAATATCTATAGAAATTTGATAATAGATTTTGGACTAGAACTCACATCTTGATTCTTAGCTGTGTTTTCTTTTGTTCTTGCATGTCATGGCCTTACATAAAATAGTTTATTCCTGGTAACAACTTCATGGCTAATGTCGTCTAAGTAAACCTTAGCATTTTTACCTGGGAGATAAATGGATGGACTCATTTGCTTATTCATTTATTCAACACACATTTATTGTATATTATGTTTCAAATATATATGTGTGAAAAACACAAAAATATTTAATCACTTCAGTTGCTAAACATCTACATCATCAAGCAAAATGTTTATTCTAGTGCTTTGTAGGGAGATACACCTTCTGTAGTGCTGTGTAGGAAGATTAACATCTTTTTTAAAGGATAAACTGGACTAAAAACTATTTAACATGTGTGGTGCATTTGTAAAGAAAATTAACAAAAATGTAAGAACAGTTTCAGAGTAAGTAATAGTATAATTATTCCAGAAATTAGCATAAATGGAAGCCCAAAGCAATGAAGGGAGTTACCTGACTTTCACAGCTAGTTGGTGCCTAAGCTGGGACCTAAGCCAAGATTTTGGATTTCTTCTTCAGCCTTGCTTACTGCTTTGAAAAGAATAGCTTCTGTCTGAGAAAAAATGACACTCATTGTTGAGAGATTTTCTACCTTTGTACCTACGTATTCTTTCTAAATAACACACATTCTCTGCCTTTTCCAGTGTGTATTACGAATGAAAAAAGATTTTCTTGCGACAGGAGCCTTTTCTTAACATTTATTGTAACACAGAGCAAAGGAACTGAAAAAAGACTAATAATTCTTGTATATTATCTGCTCTTAGAAAAGACTGTCTAAACTATTAGATACACAGATGTTTTGTTCTCCTTTTCTTAAGACTCCCAAGAATTTTCCTGTCAGTTTTTTTCCCATTGTTGTCCAGGACTTTTTATTTCTATAACTGGCATGAATCCTGCCTCATGACTGCTAGCTCGTCCATTAGATGAACTTTAAGTGATTATAGAATCATTTGTGGGCTGGCTTAGCACAATGTCTTATAAGGGTTAGTACTACTTGTACATTTTCTGAAGATTAATAGCTTCAAATTGCAAGTACATGTACCTATTGATGACAATGTTGGTTTTGTCCTTTAAATTAAAAGCAAAACAAAACCAAAGAGTCTGTCTTTGAGCTTAATTGCATCCAAATTCACCCATGTTGGTTATTTATAATATGCTTGGTGACAGCATATGCAATTCAATTAGTTAGGAACATCTCCAGTACTATACTAGGCTACTGTGACAGCTTTAATTTTACTTTGACACTGAAAGGTAAACTAGCAACACCTGGCAGTACAGAGAAATAAATCTTCACATTCATCTACCTCATTCCTTGTCCCTGCAGTGATACACCTCAGTCAGATAGGTGTATGTCTTTTTATGTGTGTCTTAAAAAATCTCTTAGAAAAGAGATTTCACAAATTTTCTGAATGCCTTTCTCAGACTATTAGGGAGAGATCATGAAACTAGAAGATATACATACAAGTTCTAAACAAATATCCCCCTAAACCATCTCTCTCTCTCTTCTCCAACCTTTAATCATTTTGAAATGCATTTTATCATTCTTTTAGATTTTCCTGCAACACATATTATAAAACCAATAAAATGTTGGGAATATTAATATATTTTTAGTGAATAAGTGGAAAATCTTCTAATAGCTTCTGAGAGCACTTTTATATGTCCTGATAATTATTTAAATTTGTATATCTTTATAGCTAGGCAAGAGAGAACCCTGCATATCTTATGAAATGTGCCAGTTTTCTAGACATTAAAAATCATTGTGTTTAGTTGTACCCCATGTACAGATATGTTCACTTTGTGGCTATTTAGGTGCTTTACAATTTTGATGTATTCTCATTTTTTTAATTACAGAGATTTTTCTTTTAATTTCAGAGACAGTGGTAAGTCACATTTTGTTTATACACCAGAAGCTTAATGGTGGTTATTAATTTCCATAGACTAAGCTGTTATTAATGTCATTGCCTCTTCCTCCCTTTCTTGATCACTGATTTTGTCTACTGCAAAGATAACATTTTTATTTCAGTCTGGAAAGAAATCTCACTATAACTATATATTCCTTTATCAAAAATAAATAAAAATTTCAGTATGCAGTTCTGATTGAATTAAAAATATGTTTTATTGATTTTTAGAGAGAGAGGAAGGGGGGGGGAGAGAGAGAGAGACATCAATGTGAGAAAGAAATATCAATTGGCTGCTTCTGCATGCACCCCAACCAGGGATCGAACCCGCAACCTGGGTGTGTGCCCTAACCCAGAATCTAACTGGCAGCCTTTTGGTGCACTGAACAACACTCAACCAACTGAGCCACACTGGCCAGGGCACATTTTTTTTTTTTCTTTTTTTTTTTTTTATCCTCACTTCAGGACATTTTTCCATTTTTTGTTCAGGTAGAGGGGTTGGGAGACAGAGGAAGAAAGAGAGAGAGAGAAACATCGACGTGAAAGGGACACATCGAGTGGCTGCCTCCCGCACGACCCAACCAGGGCTGGGGACAAACCACAACCAAGGTATGTGTCCTTAGTGGGAACTGAACCTGGGTCTCTCTGGACCACAGGCTGATGCTCTAACTGCTGAGCCAAACCAGCCAGGGCCATTTTTTTCTTTTGATAATAGCTCATTAGCTTCTTGGAAGAGATATGAGAAAAAATAGCAGGAACCATTACCATTTGAAAAGCAATCAGAATTCAAAACAGCATGTTTAAGATGACAGTGTAAGCAAAGTTGGAAAAAGTAATTTTTTTTCTTTTGTAGGAAAAAAAAATCACTCATTCTGTATTCCAGAGATATAATCACTGCTAACTTTTTAGTATAGAGATTTCATTTTAGTATTTTATTTAGATGTGGGTGACTGTTTTTGCAAAATAGTATTTATTATACTGTTTCATGTTACTTATGGTCTGCTCTTTTTAATTTAACCTCATGTAATGGACATTTCCCCATCAATATTCATTTTTTACAACATTACTATAAATGGTGTGATGCAGTTATACCTTAGTTTACCTAAATCAGTCACTGTATTTATTTATTTATTTATTTTATCCTCACCTGAGGACATTTTTTCATTTTTTGTTCAGATAGAGTGGGAGTGAGAGAGAGAGAGAGAGAGAGAGAGAGAGAGAGAAACATCGATGTGAAAGGGACACATCAAGTGGTTGCCACCCGCACGACCCAACCAGGGCCGGGGACAAACCGCAACTGAGGTACATGCCCTTGGTGGGAACCGAACCCAGGTCCTTCTGGACCTCAGGCCGACGCTCTAACTGCTGAGCTGGCCAGGGCTTAGTCACTGTATTTAAAGATAAAGATGTTAAGTCCATCTATTTTTTATTATGAATGATATCTTTGTAAATATTTGGATACAGTCTCTTGTATATAGTTATATCAGTAGGATAAATTCCTGGAAATGAAAATTGGTGGGTCAAAAGGTGTGGGATATACAAATCTTCTGATGTATGGCCAGTGTGTTCTCCCAAAGAGTTATACCAGTGTGCGCTAAGTACCTGCTTCTCCAAGCTTCTTTAACAATGGGTATTTTTATTTTACTATGTTAATTTGATAGGCCAAAAGAAAAGTCACATTTAAAATGTTTTAATATCTCTGATTAAAAGTTGAACCTTTAGCCCGGCCGGTGTAGCTCAGTGGTTGAGCATCGACCCATGCACCAAGAGGTTGCCAGTTTGATTTCCGATCATGGCACATGCCCAGGTTGTGCACCCAATCCCCAGTGCGGGGGGCATGCAGGAGGCAGCCAAGCAATGTTCTCTCTTATCGATATTTCTCTCTTTCCCTCTCCCTTCCTCTCTCTCTAAAAATCAATAAGGAAAAAAAAATAGTTGAACTTTTTTTTTTTTTTTTTTATCCTCACCCAAGGACATTTTTCCATTTTTTGTTCAGATAGAGCGGGAGGGAGAGAGAGGAACAGAGAGAGAGAGAAACATCGATGTGAAGGGACACATCGAGTGGCTGCCACCCGCACGACCAACCAGGGCCGGGGACAAACTGCAACCGAAGTACGTGCCCTTAGCGGGAACCGAACCCGGGTCTCTCAGGACTGCAGGCCGACGCTCTAACCGCTGAGCCAAACCGGCCAGGGCAAACTTTTAAAACATGCTTATTGGCTAGTTGTAATCTTTTAAAATTACTTGTTGGTGTCCTTTGTATCTTTTTTTAAATGGTGTGTTTCTTATCGATATGGACAACTGTGATTTAATTCAAATCTACTAAGGCATAGTATAAAATGGTTTTGATAGGGCTACTAATAAAAGCTGCCATTAAATGAACACCTATTTAGCCTGCAACTATGCTAAGCACATTATCCTTATATTTTAGTATTTTATTTAATGTTCATTGTAATTCTGAAGTAGGAATCTTCATTTTGCAGTTGAGAAACTTGAAATTCAGAAAGGTTGAGTGACTTGCCCAAGATCACAGCTAGTGATAGCACTAGGATTTGATTCCATTTCTGTCTGACTTCAAAACCCTATGTGGTTTTCCTTAAGTCACACTTTTCCTGGTACTTAGCAGTTGCTTATACCAATTTATGCCAGATAATTTTCTAACCATCCTTCTTTACCAGCATTGCTCCAGTGTTCTTTGAATACATATTTGAAATGGAGAGAAATAACTTAATTACTAACAGAATCCACTATCAATGAGTAGTATAGTCAAGAATAAAGCATCTCTGAACCTCTATTTTTAGACATAATAATTAGATTTGATGCAGACCAATATCTTTTTATCATTTCTTAATTTGTTCTTTGGAATGGTGTGTATTATATAATTTTGTGTTTTAGTTGCTTTTCTCCATATTAAGAACCGGGCACTTGCCTCAAATTCTTTTTTTTTAAAGATGAGGAATATATACATAAATGAAAGAAATGGGTAAAAAATAATTAGTGTACTAAATTCTTCTTAACAGAACTTTACAAAGCAGTATGGCAAAGCTGCTCTCAGACCTTAGCATGGACACTGCTCGCTGCAAGCCTGGGAATAATCTTACCAAATCACTTCTGAACATTTATGAAAAACAACCGCAACATGACCCAATCCCTGCTCAGACTTCCATAATGAGCTACTTAAATAAGTTAGAAACGGATCACACTTTTACACATTCAGAGCCACTTTCTGCAGTTCACAATGAAGAATGCATAGTTCCAGACCGGCCCTATGAAAATGTTCTGCCTTCCAAAAGCCCTCAACGTACTAATACTAGGAGCATGGAGGAAGTATCAGCCCCTGGAATCATCTCTCCCCTTTCAAAACAAGATTCTGATGAGGAGAGCGAAATTACAACTTTAATAGAAGGTGAGTGTAATCTGGATAATACAATTTATATTCCGTTTGCTAGAAGTACTTCTAAAAGGAAATCACCACTATCCAAGAGGTTATCCCCCCAGCCACAGATCAGTGCCGTTCCACCACAGCTGCTCAGCAACAGCGGACCTGTCTCAGAAAAAGAAAAGAAATCATGTGCACCTAGAGTTTGTTCTTCTTCCAAAAAGGAAGAAGATTCATCTGAGAAGCTTTCCAGAACCGCTGAAATGGAGGACAAGCAGCTCCTCAAAAAAATAAAGGAAGCCATCGGCAAGATCCCCGCCGCCGCGGAGCAGGAGCCCGCTGCGCGTCACCGCCCCTCCACTCGCCAGAGCTGCGGCTTTCAAGTGAAAGGTAGTGCTGTCTCCGATGGCAGCTTTTTAAATTCTGACTTGGCATCGGACTGGAGCTTCTCTTCTTTCTCAACATTCACATCTCGTGATGAACAGGACTTCCGAAATGGCCTTGCAGCACTGGATGCCAACATTGCTCGACTGCAGGAGTCCTTGAAGTCTGGTCTGCTAGAGAAATGAGCTCGGAAGAAAACGGATTCAGTATCAATGTAGCTTGGTTACATTGAATGTATATTTTAAATTTCTTTATAGAGAAATGATATTTTATATTAATTATGTGTGAAAAAATAAATTGAATAAATTTATTATTGGAATATATTGACACTGGAGCTTATAAAAAGTCATCTTAAATTGACATTTGCTAAGAGAAGAAAGTTGTAGATAACTTGGGAAATACTATAAATAATATTTTATTTTAGTACTTAGCAATTAGAGTTCTTTTATTACCCTTCTGGGCAAAGGGTAAAGGTTGGAAGGATTCTTAAAAGATGATTGGAAAGGAGTCTCTGGGTATAGTTTACTATATTCAAACTAGAGTTTCTCTTTCAGGATTCTTTTTTTTTGTAATGGCATTCTGTTGTTTTTATGGGATGCTCTGTGCTACAGGCTAGTGCTTTTGATGAGATGTATAAACATTTAGGACAAAAAGTAGTCCACCTCTTAAAAAACATTCTGTGGTCCAATAAAATATAGCTAACATTCTAAGTTAGCATATGGTTTCTTAAAACTTTGGCATTTCTATTTATTTTTATCCTGAATGCACGTTTAAGATCTTTAAAAAATAAAGTCAGACTGGTAAATGCTAACAGATAAGTTTCAGTGATGGAAAATTTTTTTTTATAAATATTTGGTTTTTGTCTTTATTATATTTGAACATGATGGGGTTAGTAAATCTTGCACTGGTTGTAATTACGCCTTTCTGGACCAATTATTTTCAGTACTGGAGCTGAGAACTTTCTCTATTCTATAAATAATATGAACTAGATTGGGCTCTGCTTCTCTATACTAGCACCCCCAATTATTCAGACTCTCCTCCCTCCATGTAAGCAGTACATTTTAACTCTTAGGAAGTTGAGTGTTGTGCTATCACTAATACTCCATACAGGTCACCTGCCTGGTCTCATGTGTTTAGTGCTTGAATAGGCTTTACCATTAAAGAGTTTTCTGCCAGCCCTGGCCAATTTGGCTCCGCAGTTAGCATCAACCTAGCAGACTGAAGGGTTGCAGGTTCAATTCCCAGTCAGGCACGTACCTGGGTTGCAAGTTTGATCCCCCGCCCCAGTTGGGGTCATATGGGAAGGCAACCAATTGATGTGTCTTTCCCACATCAATGTTTCTCTCTCTCCTGCTCTCCCCACTCCCTTCAGGTGAGGATTAACAACAAAAAAAGAATGTTCTGCTGGCCCCAGAACCTCTTTCTGCTGTTTTTTTAAAATACTGGTGCTACAACTTCTGAAGTACTCAGATACAGTCTGATATACTCAAATTTTAGAAATATAAATTTCTTGAGTCAAAGTTTGTTAGTTGAATTCTACGCTATTTTCACAGAATTTTCCATTAATATTTTTAATTTTTTTTCATAAATTAATACATTGGTTTATTTGGAGGTAATAGGTCACAATTCCTTTTTTTTTATTTACATTTTCTTTCTTTTATTTCCTTTATTGATTTTAGAAAGAGAGGAAGTGATAGGGAGAGAGAAACATCGATGAGAGAACATTGATTGGCTGCCTCCTGCATGCCCCGCAATGGGGAATAGGCCCACAACCTGGGCATGTGTCCTGACTGGGAATCAAACCAGCTACCTCTTGGTGCATGGGTCGATGCTCAACCACTGAGCCACATTGGCCGGACCAGGTCACAATTTTTTAGCATGTAAGTTCAGAAGTGCAGTTCAGAAGTACAAAATATTAAAGCAAGGAATGAAATTGTATGCCATCTGTCTACTCCCAAATGCTCAATTGTTATTCATATGTGGAAATAAATTCTTAAAATTATTATATGATCGTTCTATTTAGCCTTTAATACAGAACAAACATCCTTATGTGCAAAGGAAAATTTAAAATGCTTATGAGTTCATTTAAATAGGGGTTAATAGTTTGATTGAAGAACAAACGAGACTGGGAAATCCTTGAGGGGCTTTTTATTTGATATAAGATTCATTTGATGTAAGATGAAGTACTATTTATTTGATACACATGGCATAGAAACATGAAAGAATTCAGTTAAATTTCAAGGTGGAATATGACCCTAACAAAATGGAAGAGACTGGATTTCATAGAAGTTTAGAGAAGAAGGAAGCCAAAAAATGGTAGGGGAAGACCTAGAAGGGAAGAAATTTCATTTGGATCTTAAATAATGCATAGGATTTTAACAATCCTGTGAGTATCCTCAAAATGTTTACACCAAAGGAAGTCAGTATCATAAAATGTGGGAGTTGGTTGAAGAGTATATTAAGAGGATGATGGTAGGTACACCAACCTGACTAAAATAGAGGGGTCAAGATTATATAATGGTAATAATAGATGATGATAACACATTTAGAAGAGTTGGGGTCAAATTATAGAATGTCTTAAGCTCCAGGCTGAGAAATAGCCATTAAACATGAAGTCACTGGGGTTCTGCTGCTGTTTTTCTGCATGAACTTTTGTTTTCCAGTTATAAAATGTGAGAATTTGACTACAAGTTCTCTATAGTCACTCCACGAATCAGCAATATTTAATCATCTATTCTAGCATTTTGACAAAACATTTCTTTGAATTAGTCAACTGCGAGGGTTCTGCTCAGGTTATTTAGTACTCTATATGAAGTAGACATGCCATTCTTCTAATCAAGGATGGCCCTGCCGACTCCAGAGAAGATTTATGGAAAGAAGGTAGGTCGTTATTTGTCACGAGTGATTCAAAAAAAGCTGTGACATTCCTGGTGTCTGTGAACAACTCCATCTATCTCTAGACTAGTTTTTGAACATCACTGTTTCTATTAGCATTCCCGACTTAGAAGATTGAAATACTGGTATAAAAACATTGTGGGTAATTTTTGCTTTGTATTGTACAGACTTTTATAGCTAAAAGAGACCTTATGATCACCTAAGTCAATCTCATTTTTAGAAATGGAGACAAACCAAAAATGTAAAGCCATTTGCTCAAGGCCACACAGCTAACACCGTGAACCAGCTACTATGAGTCCCAGTCTGCTTTCCTCCCTATATTGTCTTCCCACTTTCAGCTACATCTCATAACTATTTGAACCCCTGGGCCTAACTCTGTTACCAGAATCTATGCCATTCTCTACTAGCATAATCTAATAATAAATTATTTCCTCTGGGATCTGTGAGGATTAAACAAGGGACAATACTTTTAGAACTATAAACACTAAATGGATGCTGATGATCACTAATTATATATAAGATATGTGGTCTTCATGTAAATGTGTGTACTGTACTAGACCCTTAAGGTTTTACTTTTGCTTTATGAAAGGTACACAATGTTTTTCATTTTATTTTTTATTGATTTTATTAGAGAGAGAGAAACATCAATTGGCTGCCTCCCACATGACCTCTACTGGGGATTGAGCCTGCAATCCAGGCATGTGGTTTGACTGGGAATCGAACCCAGAGCTCTCAATTCATGGGATGACACTCAATCCATTGAGTCACACCAGTCAGGCAAGGTACACAATGTTCTTAAAATCTGTTTAGCATGTGACATAATGCTAGTAAAACAACTTTTCTACCTGTCACTTGGCCAATTCCATTTAAGTCACTATTCTTATTTTTAAACTAGGCAGAGAAAGGTACGTGAGTTTTTCTCCCATTGACACTGACATTCACAGTGAATTCTGACATTTCCAGGAACCTAGCACCATCTTCTGCTCAGCCTGGAGGGTAAGATGGCTCATTTCTCCATGGAGATCTCCTGGAGACATGCAGAGGCATCATACACTATCCAGGATGAAAAAACGGTCACCTTTGGAGCTGGAGACTTAAACAGTTGTTGGAATCTATAACAAGAAATGTTGCCCACTGCTCGGTAGGAAACACACAGCCAAGGTACATATTTTCTCCCCATCATCCTTTCCAGATTATTCTGTTCTTGGCTGTGAGCTCTAGGCCCAGAATGGGGTAGGAGACCAGAATCAAATATTTTAAAAGTCAGCAGCTCCAAAACAAGCAGAACAGACCTCTTGGAGGGTAGTAGTTTGCGGTTTGGCAAGAAGAAATGAGTAAAGGAAAAATAAAATTTGAAATCCAGAGAGCTTCAGTAGATGGAGAGAAAATCTTTTTTTAAATTTTTTTTTTATTTTTTTAGGTTATTCAGTACTATCAGACTTGGCTGAGATAGGTTGGTGGAAGATAAGACAGAAACTAGAAATTAACAAATCTTTGCGTAAATAGGTCTTTCTTATTTGAACCATGACCTATATCCCACTACTCCACTCTTCCCCCACCACAAAGCTAGTGATCCTTTTTTTTCCACCAGAGATTCAGACCACTGTCATCACCTCTTCCCTCCCCCCACCCCATCCAGTCTAATAATCTGGTCAGATTATTGGAATAATGAATGATTAACACATAAAGCAACTTCTCTCATCCCCTAACTTGCCTGTTATTGCTCTATTAGCTCTTTAGATCAGTGATCTTATATATTTTTTCCTAATTCTAGAAAAATTTCAGTTAATATTTCTTCAAATTTTTTTGTAATTGATTTTTCTCCTTCTGTTTCTCATTAATTCCTATTAAGTTTCTACATCAAACCTTCATGTCTCTTAACTTTTCTGTTATTTTTACCATTTATGTGTCTATTCTTGACTTTTCTGGGGAAAGTTTTCTGATCTTTTATCTCACTGATTTTGTTCTTTAGTTATAATCTATTTTGCTAATAAATATACTTACTGATTCTTAATTTCAACTTATATTATTTACATAGTTTGTTCTTTATAACTGTCTGTTTCTGTTTCATATATCCAATACTCTCTCTTATTTTGTTAAACATATTTATAATATGTATTTTAAATTCTTCTCTGACTGGTCCATTGGTTTTGTTTCCTTTAGCGTGGACTGCTAAGCATATGCGCCTTGTTTGTGTTATTCTTTCTCTCTGTACATTCATATTCCCTTGGGAATATTAGTTACCTAGACTGGTAATATATCATATATACCTGGAAAAAGTAACTGAAATCCAGCCTA